GAGAAGGGGCTGCACCGAGGTGCAGCAGTGATGGTGGGGCATTGATGGCTCTGCCGACCTGAGGTCTCGGCATCACGGCCAGAAACACGCACCAAAAACAAAAGATAGAGCTGTAAGGGTCAGCAAAAATAAATAGAAAGCAAGGGCAAGCAGCAGCTAGTACTACTGTGCAGCGCATTCGTAGCAATGGGAGTCATTGACGGGGCACTAGAATGTAGGTGGGTCGACAGGCAGAATTTCCGTGGACCATCGCCAATCCTGTCGGCGGAGGTATTCGTTGACGTTGCACTTAAACTTTTGAAGATTTTTGCGAGTTGGGGCGGAGTCTAGAAAAGCTGGCGGCAGGGAATTTCACAGCTGGATTGCACAATGTGGGAAGCTGCGGAGAATGGTGTCTGCTGCTTGACGCGGTAGCGGATTTCGTAGCTGGTAACTGTGGCCGGCGGCCATGCGGAGATCGTTTCGAGTGCGAGTGGCGTCACGGGGCTCAAGCCTTGGTGGGAGGACTGCTAGCAATTGAGTCGGACCGGTGATAAAATGCAGTTTGTAGGTGTATGTTAATGCAGCAACGTATCGCCGTAGGCTGAGGCTCTGGAGCTCCGTCCCGGGACCAATGATGCGCAATGCACGGCGTTGGATGCTATCTAGGCGTGATAGATGGGAGGGAGCAGCTCCCATCCAGACGAGCGGAGCATACTCCAAAACGGGCCGTACAAACCCCTTGTACACCGTGAGGCGGCCTTCTCGGGAGAGATAGGGCGCAGCTCGCCGCAGGAGGCCCAAGCGCTGTTTGCCACGTATAGACACTGCGCGGATGTGCTCCGCGAAGGACAGCTTCGGATCAAAAGTCACCCCCAAGAGCTTTATTGTGGATGACTTTGGCACAGGGTTGCCTCCAAAGAGGAGAGAGGGCAAGGCTAGCTGCGCTCTTTGCAGCGTGACTGTCATAGCCTGGGATTTCGACGGCTCAAACGCTACACGCCATTCCTTGCCCCAGTCTGACAGACGATTGACGGTGTCCTGAAGCAAAGCAGCAGCAGTGGGGAGGTCGTTACGGAGAAGAGTGTACAATGTCGTATCGTCAGCATAGGCTTCCAGCTGCGTGTTCCCAGCAAGGCATGTTGATACGTCGTTAATGTATATGAGAAACATGGTTGGCCCCAAGATGCTGCCTTGTGGGACTCCCGCCTTGATGGGGTATGGACGGGAGGTTGCACCACCGACAACACACTGTATGCTTCGGTTAGACAGGTACGATGTCAGCCATGCAAGGAGGATTCCTTGGATGCCACATTGCTGTAGCTTGAAGAGGACACCTGCGTGAGAGACCTTGTCGAAGGCTCCAGCGATGTCAACTGCAAGTACGCGTGCTGCGCCCCCGTGTCCGATGGAGGATGCCCAGGAGTGGTGTAGTGCAGTAAGAGCGTCGGCTGTACCCAGATTCCGTCTGAAGCCAAACTGATTCGCTGCAAGCAGTGAGTTACCCTCGAGGTAGTTCGTAATTTGCATGTTGATAATGATCTCCATTACCTTGGATATCACACTAAGGAGGGATACGGGGCGGTAGTTCTTGAGCTGTGAGCGAGATGAGTGTTTATGCACAGGAACAACATTGGCGAGCCTCCAGGCCTGAGGTTGGTATCCATGCCGGAAGCACAATGAGAAAAGCTTGGTCAGGACCGGTGCGAGCACCGAAGCGCATTCTTTCAGGACACGGGGGGAGATGCTGTCCGGCCCCGTGGCTTTCGATGCGTCAAGACGGCGCAGGAGGCGGTGAACATTCTGGATGCGGAAGTGGACGTGGGTGAGTGGGGGATGTGGGTGAGTAGGCCCTGGGGTTCCAAGGGAGGAACGATGTAGGTCCCTGTCACCCAGGCTGCACTTGCCAGCAAAGAAGTGACCAAAGCAGTCAGCCTTCTCCTTGCTGGTAATGTGTTCCTTCCCGGCATTGTCGAGGAGGAGGGGATGTCAGAGTTTCGGCCAAGACCGCATGCTCCTTTCAGGTTGCACCACCATGCCTTGTCGCGAAGCGAGCCGCAGGTGAGTCGGGCCCGAAGGTGCCGTTCCTTCTCCTGCCTGGAGTGCTGAAGTGTGGTGGTAGCGCGGGTAACAGAGTCGATGAAGGATTGCTTCTTGACGTCATTGCCGAGGTCGTGCCGCCATTTCCTCCATTCTCTGTCCTTGATACGCATCACTTGTGTGCACTCAGGGGTCCACCACTTGGGATCTGATGAGCGGATGACGAGAGTCTTATGGGGAATGAACTGGTCCATGCCTGCAGCGATGGTATTGGTGACTTGTAAGCAAGACAACTCTGGATCGTCCGTGATAATGGAGGCCCAAGGGACAGCCTTGAGGTGTGCTCTGAGTCGCCGCCAGTCAGCACGCTCGTAACGCCACACAGTACGTGTGGTGGCCTCTCCCCGGCATGGTGAAATGGTCGGGAATTGAGCTATCACAGTTCCATGATCTGAGCGTCCTAAAGGGGCAAGTACTGTGGTGCTGATGGGTTGTTGGAAAGTGGACATGATTAGGTCTAGTGTGTTGGCACCTCGAGTGGGCTCTCGGACATGTTGCGTGAGCTCGTGGGTTATACAAAGATCCTCGAGGGCATCCCCGGCCGGGGTTGACTTCGCGCTACCAAGCCAATCTGCACTATGCACGTTGAAATCCCCAGCGAGGATTACGTTCGGGGACAGCTCTTTGGCCTGATGTAGTGTATCGTCAAGTGAATCAATGAGACAGAGGTCGGTGGGGCTACAGGACCCTGGACGGTACACAGAGCCGATCACCAAGCTTGTGCCACCACGGAGGCGGACTTTAACCCAGAGTGTTTCATGTTCTGCAGACTGGAGTTGGTCTAGATGAGCAGAAGCAAGGGTGGACTTGATCCACACAGCGACACCTCCTCCGTGCTCGTTCCGGTCTCTGCGATATGGGACGCTGGATCCAGGGATGGACGAGTCAAGGCTAGTTATGGCATCAGCAGAGAATTTAGTTTCAGTGATAATTGCTACATCTATGTCGTGCTGGTTGAGTGCATGCCTCAGGTCGTCCAGCTTGTTACGAAGGCTACAGGCATTAGTCACCAGCAGTTTGAGTCCTGTTGGAGAATTAGGGTCACCCAGTGCTGCCATCATTCTTTATCATTGGTCAGCTGGCATGATAGTTGCATCAAACTTGGTCTCGGTCACAACAGCGATGTCTACATTGTGGTGTGTGACAGTGTGGACAAATTCTCCAAATTTGTTTGCTAAGCTAAAAGCATTAGTCACCAGGAGGCGCAGTGACTGGGTCGAGGAGGTAGGTGGTGCTGTGGGTGTTACATTATAGTTATAGTTCTGCATTTTTTTTTTTTTTTTAGTCACGATTCTGGCAAGCGGACTAAATCGTGAGCCTGGAGCTAGATTTGTTGGTTTCCGGGAATCCTTCTTCTTCACCCCAGTTGCCAACTCTGGTGAGGACTCAGTGCTGGCATTCCTGCCTCGTCGTTCAGGCGTGAACCAAGTGTGGATCGCTTCGGTGTTGATGTTTGATGCCACTTCTGATAGGAGTCGCTCTGCCCGTTCTAGATCTCGCTCTGCAATGTCTACTTTGACGTCCACGAGGGGAGTTCTGGGGTGTGCTGTCATGCTTGACAGCGATCCCTGTGCGGACGACATGTCTGACTCAGTATCTGTCAGGTTGTTCAACGCTGAAGTAACCTCAGTAGTCCCCTCATCGACTTTCGTGGTTTTCAAATTCAAATCCGTTTCAAGCACTTCAGTGCTGACTGCGGGTTCTCCAACATTTGACCCCACAAGAGATGCACTCGTACTACATCCAATACTCGAGAGAGTACTCGGGCTGGTGCTGGGCCTTCTGCTGGAGCGTGCCGAGTCTGGCGACTCGTTTTGGACTCCGGTCTGTACGGTAAGTTCACCAGGTTGCCCTCCGACAGTTGCAGTTGCGCTTGTTCTGGTGTGCGCGGTTCGCTTGGCGTATGTCGTTCCTGTGGCGAGTTTGCAATCTGCAGCGATGTGTCCCGGTTGGGAGCATTTAAGACAGGTTGCAGGCTGGCCTTCGTAGCGTACACGAAACAAGTTGTTCGTAGATGTTTTCACATACGACGGAATCTGCATGTTGGGGCGAAGAGAGAATGTGGCGAAGCGGTTACCAGTGGCAATGGCGAGCCCTGACTTCGTCTTGACAAATCCATGGCGAAGAGGCCCAATGGCCGAACCAAAGACACCCAGGCTTTCGATAATAACGTCGTCCTGGACCCAGATAGGCACATCGTGAATTTGGATTTCCACGGAATCAGGCACCAGTTGAGTGACGCGCACTTCCACTGACATGAGATGGAAACCGTTTCGGCAAAGTCGTGTCAGAGTGTCTCGGGAATGAAACGTGGCCTTGCAGCTCAAGTTACTGGTCAGCTGCACGGATATCAGGTCGGAGTAGCCATGTTCAATCAGGGCCTCAGCAACTTCGAGGGTTTTCGTGTGCAGTGGAACGTGGAAAGTCCCCGTGTTCCTCTTTAGAACTTTCGGAGAGACCGAATTCCAACTGCGATTTTCACCGGACGTGGGCATTTGGAACGCTCTAACTATCTACTAACTAATTTTAAACTATCCAGTCCCTACCCTGCTCCAGACCGGCCTGCTGCCGGCTGGCTCCTACAAAACCTGCGAAAAACTACGGTGCTCAAAAAAAGCTAACTGCCCTGCTGCGTACCTATGGAGCATCGCACTGGTGACGTTTCTCCTCAATATCCCCAGACTCCACTGTAGCCATCCACTATATCCATACTTCTTCCCAACACTCTCCAAACGGTCTCCAGACTACACCAATCACTGGAAAAGAATATAATCAAATCATTCAAAAAGGCCAATCTTGTGACGTGGCGAAATAATACCCCGCTGGTCAAGTTTGGGAATAGTCACCTGAGACAATGTGTGTGTGAGACAATGTGTGTGTGTGTGTGTGCGTGTGTGTGTGTGTGCATGTGCGTGGCTTACTAGATTCATCTGTGCGTTGTTGTACTTGGCTGCCAAATGGACCAGGTGCAGCCTCTGTCACAGCCCTCACAGACAGGTTGTACACAGTGTAGATCTCAAGCTGGGTGATAGTCAGACTGGTCTCATAGCTTGTCACATTGAACACCTGTGAGTAGTTTCCAGGGCCGACAATCCTGATGTCATAGCGTACCAACACACCGTTTAGATCTTGCTGCGTGAGCTGTCGCCAGGCCAGCTGCAGAGATGTGCTGCTCAAGTAGGATGTGTTGGTCACGGTTGGTCCAATGCTTGGCGCTGCAGATGATGTATGAACAATCGGGATAGTGAAATTGGGATACAGTACTTCCGTAATTGACCACGTTGTGGTGGGTCTGCTCTACTCACACGCCACCACTAGGTGGTGGTGTGTTCAAAGGTGCGGAAAGTCCAACTGAGCGACTTTCTCCAAACCGTCAATTTATGAGAAATATGTAAGGCAAGGTTATACTGAAGGTATCGTACTGCTCTACATGAACTGATTATTAAAATAGTGAACTTAACAGCCCTCCATTTCCAAGGCCTTCACATCGTACAGTGTTCAGACATAGAGAAGGGAGTGCATTGTTCAACAAATGAACAAGTGAATTGTTGACAGTTTTAAGGACTGTTCTAATATTTTCTGTGTTGCCTATTCTGCAGTTGCATTCGTATAAGCACCTCATTGACCCCGCCCGTTCCTCATTCTCCTTTCCAATTGGCTAAAGCTTGCTTGGTAAATGTCAACGCAAAAGGGCCAGTCAGTCAGTGTCGTGCAATGTTATTGCATGAGCTCATTGTGTAGTAACTGGTGGTGCTAGTGGAAATAATGATAATAATGATAATAATTCAAAGGATCAGTTGGGTAAGTGAACTGCCTGAAAAGAGAAAAACACCAGACCCACCAGGACTCGAATCCGGGACCTTGCTTGTCATGAGAAATGCTCTAACCACTGAGCTATGGGACCAAGCTGACCCTAGAAGGCGCTGACAAGTTGTTCACTCCAAAGCCAGCTCACAACACATGACAAGCAAGGTCCCAGGTTCGAGTCCTGGTGAGGCTGGTGTTCCTTTTCTCTTTTCAGGCAGTTCACTTCCCTGACTGATCCTTTGAATTTGAAGTTCTCCAAATCGATCTCTTGTTCACACTCTTCATGGCTGTAGTCAAGACATTGGCATGCAGTTTGGTGCGACAAAAATGCGCGACCGTTGTACTAAAGGCAGGAAAGCATGAAGCCTCTGAGGAGAGCATATTGCCTGACCGTACATCTATCAGGTCGCTGCAGCCAGAAGAAACATACAAATACCTCGGAGTCCTTGAAGCAAGAGGTATGGAGTGGAAGCAAGTTTTTGAGCTCCGCAGTTTTTAGTTTCCACGGCTTCCTGGCAGCCCTTCGGCGTGCCCAAGAGGACCAGTACTAGTAGTAAGTATAGATTAGTAGTAGGGCTGACCCACCTCTGGCCGCCATGCCCCCAACTACAAAGACCGCCCTCAAGGGGCTCTCAGAAGCAGAGATGAAACTGTTGTGCTCCCTTCCGGGTATCGAGTCGTCTGTGCTGGAAGTAATCAAGACCCTGGCTAACCTAGCGTCCTAGTCGGCCGATCGTGAGGCTCGCTTCAACAAAAGGATTGATGAGCTGTCGCGGCAGGTGTCCGGCCTGACTAAGGAGGTTGTACCCCTCAAAGAAGCCGCCATTGCCAAGGCAAGTGTTCCTCCGAAATGTCAAGCTACTCAGCAGAGCCAGCGTACGCGTGCGAAATGGTCCAGAAATCGTACCCGTACCCACCAAGGCCAGGCTACCGGGTGCACTAGCAGTAGTAGTACGTTTGAGCCCCGTAGCGTGGGTGACACAGGCAGTGGCCCAGAGGTGCAGAGTGACGAAGACATGCAGCACGATGGACAGAACAGAACAAGCGTGGAACTTGAGGAGTACGGCGAGGAGTTCCAGCCTCTAGACGTCATTTCCGACGATAGTTGGCAGCTAGTGTCATCAGAGCCACCCAGACCCAAGAAATCTGTCCTGTATGTCGGTAACCTGAGTGAGTCATGCACTGACGACGACATCAAAGCTTTCACCCTGAAAAGGTCAGGCACAGCCTGGACTCCAGCTACTGTCCATAACTGCAGCATCCACAAGGCTGAAAATGGCAAGATATCTGCAAGGATCACTGTGGATGCCACTGCCCTCGCACTCATCACCTCACCAAACTTCTGGCCAAGCCCACTCTATGCCAGACCGTGGAAGTTTAGGCAACGTTCAGTTGAGCCTGATCGTGACGACTTGCCTCGCAGCCCGGGAGTCTACACGGAGCAGTCCGGCTTGGCAGAATGACTACTGCAAGTCTCCAGCTGCTAGTCACAACCGCCTTTGGGCTGCTGTCCAAACTCGGCGAGTTCCAAAACAATCTGAGTTCAACTAAGCCTGATATAGCGATCATCACAGAAACGAAATTCACGCCGGACAAGGTTCCCCTCGCCATGTCAACTATTCCTGGCTATGCAGCACCTATTCGCCAAGACCGAACTGCTTCAGGCGGGGGCCTAGCTGTATGGGTGAAGTCCAACCTGCATGCTCGGCACCTTGACACCATTGACTGTAAAGGTTTTGAGGTGGTATGGCTCTTAGTAGAGTCATGCTCTCATGGCAAGGTTGTAGTCTGTGCTATGTATCGCTCCGGTTCAAGTAGCCCATCAGATTGCTCCGTCATCGACTACCTAGACAGCTCATTACCTGCAGCACAGCAACTCGGTGACCATGTAGTCATTGCAGGGGACTTTAATGTCCACAATTCCGGCTGGCTCAAAAGTAGTAAAACAACATTAGCTGGTCTTGCACTGGAGGATCTAGCATCTGCTTATTGCCTCACGCAGCATATCACGGATCCCACTAGAGGTGATGCCATTCTAGACCTTGTCCTTTCAGACTTGCCTGGACATGTGAGCACTTCCATCAAGAGTCCATAACCCAAGAGTATGCAACTGTGATCTCTTTTCTATGGGCCAACCGCGCGGCGCGCTGCCTTCATTACATCATTCAGCTGCAGTCCGCGCACTGCGGAAAATCAAACACCGCACTTTCCCTCTAGTTCGAAATGAACTTTCGTACGGAACTGGAGTTCACGCGCCAGAATTCAGAGATTGTGTAGGTACTGGAACAAATCGAGCAAAAACGGATGGGCTCGTGCGAGAAATTGAGAGTTTGAATACATACTTTCAGAGCGTGATGAAGGCAAGTTACGTAATGAAGGCAGCGCGCCACGCATGCACCCATAATCACAGTTGCATACTCTTGGGTTATGGACTCTTGCTTCTATCTGTAAGCCCCTTGGACGCTCTGACCATGCGGTCATTATCGCAGACTTCTTGACAGTTTCTCCCTCAGAGGAGGAGAGCTCTACTAGAACAGTATGGCGCTACAACAAAGCCGATTGGTCGAGACTGAGGGCACACTTCAGATCTGTAGATTGGCTGCAAGTCACTGCTCCCCATACCGACTGCAACAAGGTCTGGGATGTCATCTCAGAGACAATTCTAGTGGGGATGCACCAATTTATCTCGTGCAAGCAATACACTACAACACCCTCTGACCCTCCATGGTGGAACCCAGAGTGTCTGTACGCAGTAGTTTTCAAGGAACAGGCCTGGCGGCGCTGGAGGAGATTTCCATTTTCTGAGCCTCTGAAGCAGACATTTTTACAATCAGTCAACCATGCCTCAACTGTGATGGACAAGGCCCACCTAGCTTGGGAACGGCGTGTCCAGGCTAAGCTCTGTGCGGGTAATCTGTGTGACAAACAGTGGTGGTCGGTGAAGAAATCAGTCGCTGGTGTTAAGCGCTCCTCTGATATCCCAACCCTGATTGATGCACATGGGCAGGAATGCGCAACCAACCTGGCAAAGGCAAACTGCTTTGGCTCATTCCTTTCCAAGAAATGCAGTCTTGCCTCCGACATATCAGTGGACAGCCTGCCTGCTGCCTCTGGCGACAGTGAAACTCCAGCGGTCACAAGGATCCATTTCCGGGCTGACACAGTACGACGACAACTGGCAAGACGAGACTCCTCCAAAGCCACTGGACCGGACAATATCCCAGCTAGGGTACTCAAGGAATGCGCAACTGAGCTTGCGGGGCCCCGAGCACGCCTCTTCTCCCTGTCTTTCAGTGCTGGCCACCAACCACAGGCATGGAAGGTTGCCCGAGTAGTTCCAGTATACAAAAAGTCCTCCAAATCCGCTGAAACGAATTACCGACCAGTCTCGCTGCTTTCTATATGTTCCAAAGTAATGGAGTCCATCATTAACCGCCAGTTAATGAACTTTCTGGAGGGACAAAACCTCCTATCACCAAGGCAATTTGGCTTTCGCCGAGGCCTAGGTCCATCCGATCTACTTACGGGACAACACCACAAGTGGTCGGCCACATCTGGCCTTGGTGGATCTGTGGAGGTGCTTGCTGTCGACATCGCCGGGGCTTTTGACAAAGTCTTCCACACAGGTGTACTGCACAAGTTGCGGAACATCGGTGTGAAGGGCCACCTCCTGGACTGGCTTAGAGACTACTTAACAGGTCGTTCGCTGGAAGTGGTCATCGGCGGCAAGAGCTCCGATCGCTATCCGATCTCTGCAGGAGTGCCACAAGGCAGCATCCTTGGAGCGTTCCTGTTCCTAGTATATGTAAATGATGCTGATAGCTGCCTGGCTCCAGGGTCTGAAATGGGAACATTTGCAGACGACATCACGCTGTATGCCTGCTTCAATACACGCGATGATGCCATCCAAGCTGACAGTCTTCAAGCTTCCGTTAATGCATTACATGCATGGAGAACAAAGTGGCATGTTAAGTTTGAACCATCCAAGTCGCAGCTCCTACGAATCTCCTGCCATCGACAGCAGCCTTGGCCGGTCCCCGCAATAAACTTTGGAGGGGAGGTCATCCCACAACAGCCACCCCTCAAGCTCCTCGGAGTTATAGTTGACTCCAAGCTTTCCTTTTCCGCCCATCTCCGGTCAGTTGCTGCCAGGGCAAACTCATGTATTGGCCTCATATGTAGAGCTGCTCGTGTTCTGGACTGCCATGGCATGCTGGCCGTGTATCACGGCTTCGTCCGGCCCCTGCTCGAGTACGCTCCCCTTGTCTGGATGGGAGCTGCTCCCACTAGCCTTGAACACCTTAACAGAGTGCAGAGGCTTGCCCTCCACATCCTGGGACCCAACATCTTGCTACAGAGCCTAGAGGCCCGACGGACAGTGGCGCACTGACTTTCGTCTACAAGCTACTGGGCCAACCAGGTCCTCCTCTGCTGGCATACATGGTCCCCCCTCTCGTCGTCCACCATGCCGCACCTGTAACCCGGAGACAACGCCAACAGTCTGCTTCACACCCCTTCCAACTGGAAAATGTTCTCCCTCCAGGCGCTCCTAACTACCTAAGACGCCCCTTTCCATACAACATCATCAACACCTGGAATGCGCTGCCATCCTCCCTCTTCACCAAACCACCATCTCCTAAGGGCCTACCATCCTTCAAAGCGAACGTCCACTACCATCTTTGCCGAAGCCAGTGGCTTTGGGCCACAGACTCCCTCTAACAGTTCAGAACTATTTCCATCCTGAAGTTCTCCCCCCCCCCCAAGCATTGCATCATGTTCACTGCATCTGAACTGCCTTTGAATCTATTTTTCTCTCTTCTTGTTCTCTCTCCACCCCCACCCCCACCCTCTCTCTCTCTCTCTCTCTCTCTCTCTCTCTCTCTCTCTCTCTCTCTCTCTCTCTCTCTCTCTCTCTCTCTCTCTCTCTCTCTCTCTCTCTCTCTCTCTTCTCTCTCTCTCTCTCTCTCTCTCTCTCTCTCTCTCTCTCTCTCTCTCTCTCTCTCTCTCTCTCTCTCTCTCTCTCTCTCTCTCTCTCTCTCTCTCTCTCTCTCTTTCTTTCTCCTCATCCATTGTACCTCACCTTCTATTGTCTTTATCGCACTAAATCACCCCCTTCTTTTAGGCTATGGTGCGCAAGCTCACGTTAACGCCGAGACCATAGGTCGGTGTTGTGGGCTTGCCTCACCAGCACAGGCTTGCTTTGCAGCCCCTACTCTCCCCGCTGTTTTCTTATTGTATACACTGTTGTCTTCTCCCCTTCTGACGAGTAGGTTGTGTACTTAGTAAAAAAACTAAAAAATAAAAAATGGATAATTGAAGTATGAAGACGAAAATCCTGCAGGAGTACAAGTGGCATGTGCGACGAGTACTCCGTTCAGCTCTAAACGGCCACAATATCATCATCGCCATCGACACCTGGGCTGTGGCTTTGATACGGTATAGTGCTGGTATCTTGGCTCGGAGGCAGGACGAGTTGAAATCTGTGACGGAAGAATGCGCGAGCTTATGACTATGTATGGAGCTCTCCATCCACGCGCTGATGTAGCCCGTATGCACATCAGTCGCAAGGAGGGTGGACATGGTTTGAAAAGTATTCATGATGTTGTCATCATGGAGAAAAGCAAGATGCAGCGTAATGTGCTTCAGTGAGACGAGGAACTCCTGACGGTGGCTGCGCCCATTCTGTGGCCACATCTGGATGCCCCACCGGACTCCTCACAGGTGGTGAAGTGTCGGCTTCAAAAAGAACACCTCTTGGTGTGGACCCTGAAACCCTTGCATGGACAGTTTGTCTGGCAACAGAACTACTGACCAACGAGAACACCTAGAGTCGGCCGACAAAGGCTGGTCTCAAGAACACCACAGAGAGCATAATCATCGCGGCACAAGACAAGGCCTTGGCAACTAAGTTGCTCAAAGCCCAAATCTTCCATCAGGGTGGAAGCCCCTGTGTCGAATGTGTGGGGAGGCAGGCGAGTGGGTTGCCCATATCCTATGCAACTGTTCAAAGCTCACTTGACGGAATTACTTGGAGCATCATAATTGGCCTCTTTGGTCCACTGGTCACTCTGTCGTGTGCATGGGATACTATGTGAAGACAAGTACTACAAGCGCCACTGTGATCTGGTGCTTGAGCATACCTAGACCAATATAACAGTACAAGAGCATCCTACACCGGAGAGTAACGTGCCTGAAGCTAGAGATACTTCACAAGTCAACATCTCTTCTAGCCCCATCTGTATGCATGCTCCAGCAGCACTGTGCGTTTCATTATCACCTTCAAAACTTTTGTCACCTTCAACTTTTTTGAGTATGCCACTTTTCTATGTAGAAAGTGCGGAATTGCGCCACTTTACCCTATTAGTATACTCATTCCTTTATCTGCTATTCATTCGTTATCTACCTCCACTGATGAGCCGATACAGGTTTCTGGAGGATATGGAACATCTACACAAGAACGAACTTCCTCGCTATGGAGGGGTGTTGTGAATGTGGGCCAAGAGCGCTGTGTGGAGAGGTGGACGGTTAATATTATTTTCAAATTGCCGAGTTTGTGACTACATGTACTTCTGAGTTAATACTAATAATACTTCGAAGTAATAACTAGGTTAGAAGTAATTTCGAGGCATCCTGCAGCTTCATCCGTAGAGAGAAGTAGGGTGGACACACCCATTCCCACAGCACTGCAAAAACGAACCGATTCCATTGATGTACAACGTTTCGGTTATCATGCATTATGCAATAGCAACAGTACGATTGTCGTGCATATGATCTTGCATTGCAAAAACGTTCCCCGGTTTTCTCTGAACATAATTGAGCAATCGAAATGTCTATTCGCATTAGAAAGTTCTCAGCTATCGGCTCAAACAGGAGCTAAAAAAAGAAACTTCAGCTCAAGAACGCACATGGACACTTAACTCAAAAACTCCAATACCCGAACATGTACATTCTACCACGTAGTTACTAAAATAATCATTACGCTAAGCTACTATCAACTCGAATGCAGAGCCAAGGATTATTTATGGAAAGTCAAAAGGACCTCCATATCTTATTTCTATAACTAAGAACCTTCCAAGTTGGAAGGTTGTTGGAGTGCGCGTGCAAGATGTGCTAGAGCTGTTAGCCAGTTAGTTGTAGAACCTCAATACCTTCGGTCAGTATCGTTCAATGTTATCGCATGAGCTGATTGTTTAGTAACTGGTGGTGTTAGTGGAAATTATAGTGTAACTTGTAGTTCCTTGGTCCTTTTGACGTTCTATGGTACCATCCTATTTCATTTTTTGAAATTTTTAAAAATCTATAACCTTGGATTTGAACTGGGAATTATAGTGTAACTTGTAGTTCCTTGGTCCTTTTGACTTTCTATTGTACTACCCTATTTCATTTTGGCAATTTTTTTAACCTATAACCTTGGATTTGAACCCGCACTATCACCCTGCATGCATTCCCTCGATACACTTCGCACGCATAATTATACTTTGAAGTACATTCTTCCAGGTTGCTTCACCTTGTGACCCAGCAGTTGAAAGTCGTATATCATGTGGGCAGCAGTCTGTGATGAAAGCAAACAGCTGGCCTACTGATAACTTCACCTTCTGGAAACGCTCTAGCGAAACAGATCTGTGTCATCCGACCAATCTGCGGGCCGATTTCTTACCAACACTCGACGTGGATTCGATATCCGACGCCGCTGTACTCACCTCGTTGTCCGTTGCCAGGACAGGATCAGCTCCCTCAGAACCGGAAGGAGACCCTGGAGACATCTCGACACTGAACGAAGACATGCTGAACGAAAACACGGACTGAAAACTACTATCCCCAAGAAAAATATGAGACTACTACATACAGAATAGTTGTTTTCCAACGCTCGAGCTGAACTCGAGTGTTCCAATAACGCCAGCAGAACGTTCGCCTCACGTCAAAAATACCGTACATGTGAACCTCTACTACAATTCGCATTACGGTACAGGACACATACGGTATGCGTCAAGTATGCGTCAAGTGAAAGACACTACCTCAGAAAGATACGAACAGATACCGAATGAAAGCGTTGTGGACCCTGGCTAGCACCATATGCTACTGAACTATGCTTCTTTTGCACATAGGTACGGGAATAAGAAACTCATTGCTGTTGCTGCTGTTTAGAGAATTCAGCATTAGTAATCACCAGGCAGCTGCCACAATTTGCTTAGTATGAACTACACAGTGTTCAAATCCACCTCACCTGCTTGCTGAGTCTGGAATGATGTGAAATTAGAGATATCTCCCCTGCCAATACGAGTAGCAGCGGCAATGGCCACTTCATACATCGTGTATGGTTTCAGCCTGACAATAGTTCCATTAAGGGCAGATGCAAGGAATGTTTGGCTTGAGACTTCACTGACGGGATAGATTGACGTGACGTTGACATGGTATGATGTGATAAATCCATTCTGGTCCAGTAGGGGAATTGGAGACCATTGCAGCTGAGCAGATGTGCTAGTCTCGCCGATAACAGCCAGGTTCGACGGAGCACGACTTGGAACTAGAACAACAAGTCAGAGGATGATCAAAAATAACCACTTGATAAGTACATTATTCGACAGTATATCAGGTGAAATTGCTACATGTATTGTATTTATTTAAAAGGAATCTCCAAAAGCAAATGGATGCTTATTTAATTATGACAGAAGTCACCTACATAAATAATATAGCAAGAAAAATGGGGAATGGGGAAGGAGAGGGGAAGATGAAGCATGGGAAAGGGGAAACAAGTACCTTAATAGCAAGGTGTAAAAGCAGGAAAGAAATCGACGAGAGAAGAAATCACCTCTGCAGTGAATAGCTGGACATTTAGATGCGAAAAAACCCAGCATGGATATATTTCTAGTAAGTACTAATCATTGCAGCTTTTCACTTTACATACCGTATTGCATGGAGATTTTCAATTATCTTATATAACGAGTTGAAGCATCGATAATTTATGTTGTATCGAGGATAGCCCCGGTAAGTATGGATTAGTGCCTATTTCACCGCAAGCTGCAAGTCCTGTTACAAGATAAGTCTCGTTTCAAGATACCTTTTTCGATGGCCAAGAGATTATCTACTAACGAGGGAAGACCTGTATTGTGCATGGCACGGGGTAGTGCGAGGTCACGTACCGTCTATACATGGCGACAGACAGGGGAAGGACTATGTCGTGAATGGGTGAAAGGATAACGTGATACAGGATAGGACACTACATGTACCAAAGATAAGAATAATTAGAGTACAGCTTCTGCAGGTCACTAGAAACCAAGCCGGATCTTACCTCCCTCTTTAGTGGCATAACCGTCCATTCGAGTGCTACTGTTCTCTCCCCTTCCATTTTGAACCCAGGTCCAGGTGTTGTAGACTACATATTCCTCAAGATTGTCGAAATCAGATACAGCATTATCGGTGCAATTGTGTTTCACTCGTTGGCGCAGGTCATCAGGTATTGGTTTGCTGCCCACAGTCTTGGTTGCTTGAATTGTGATGCAGTACTGAAGAACATTCCAGTACGGTGATTCGGATGTCACCACTGCCCTCACACTGGTTGATGTTGAAGTCCATTTGACGGTTGGCTCATCGGGGACTATATTGCAATACACAGAATCACCAGGAAGAGGTACGTTAGATTAGTACTCCACAACCGCTGACAGTGCCATCGGGAAGCATGTAAGGTGTTTTTTTCTCTTTCTGTAACCCCACCACTAACGCCATACACAAAGTCTTATCCGGTTTGAAATCAGTGAACACGGGCAGCTGGGTTAGGGCTATTGAAAGTGGCATAGGTAAGTATAACTCCACACACGCAGTTTAGCATGGTTATGTACTGCAGGTTTATTCCTATTTGTATGCAACTGTGTGCAGCAATGCACAAGCAAACTAGTACAGAGTAGCACTCTTTAGTGCTTGGGTGCATGCTATCCACAGTGCATACATGTTCATGTGTGTGATCCACAGTGCATACATGTTCATGTGTGTGATCCACAGTGCATACATGATTGCAATCCACAGTGCATACATGATCGCAATCCACAGTGCATACATGATTGCAATCCACAGTGCTTGGGGAAAGTAAGGGGTAGAGGGAACCTTGATGACAGGCAGATCATTATAACATTTTAAAACATAGCTTACTGATGATAGCATTGTGGCAGGAAACAAAGGAGAGGCAGTTTTATGTGGGTTTTGTAGGATGACATTTGTTTAGTCAGCGTTAATTGTTCATGGAAGTGTGTTACATGTGTAACAGGTAGCCGAGTGGTAGGCGCGGTGCAATTAACACAAGTTATCTTTTATTATTATTCTCTTAGGTACACACCTGGGATATAATTAGAAGTTAAAGTAGAAGCGGAAAATAAATGGAACTTTCTCTCGGGTGCACACCTGGAGGTTGAATAGCTCGTTATTATCAAAATCTCATGAAACAGAAATGCGCTGCAGCTTTTATGCAACGGACACCGTACGCTTACATACGGAGATACACTAAAATACATCAGGTAAAGTTCCGTATTAGTTCCGTATTACTTCCGTATTAGCCAGGCAGGGATACTACACCCTCCCTTCCTACAGATAATCACGCCCTCATGATTTTAAAAATTAGCGAAGAGTTATGAATACAGCGTCAACCGGAAAATGGCAAATTATATCGGAAATGATAACGTTTAGAGTAGACAGAAGAAATGAACTGATAACAAATCATAACATTGAAATAAAAGCATACCAGGTTCACACGATCTCTCGGGGTCAAAAGGGAAAGAATTGTCCTCCAAACAGGACGTGAATGAGAGGCCAAATTTCTGCACATTGCGGGCTCAAACTGCCAGGAAATTTACAATTTCAAAACATGCACTGCATCGTGGGAACTTACTCCGGTACACACCTGGAGTGTAAAAGGGGATTCTCACACACTTCTCTCACAAGGTTAGTTAGGTAAACCGTGGCTCACCATGATCAGACGCCTACCAAACTAAACTGGATTCACACACTCGCATAAGTGAAGAGTGAAGAGAACAGGGAGACTGAAGGAAGACAGGAAAGAAAATGCCATACCTGGAATCAGCGCTAGTAACCACGGCGGCGGCTGGAGCTACGGCGGAGGGCGAGCCAGGTTTTATCTTCATCTTGGCTGAGCCGGTCACTCAGAGCGGCTAGCTCGGCGTTAGACAGATCACCCCCTCCTCGTATTGAATTGTGGTCTTCACATTGTCGAAAGCATCGCTTGGCGCGACGTAAAGAGTGATGGACTAGCCAGGAAGAGTGTTGACGAAAATATGCATTCCACCACGGAGACGAAGTACCAAGTGAAGAGTGGACTCCTGCTGAATGTTTTAGTCACTCAGGGTTCGGCCGTCTGCCAACTGCGTGCCAGCGAAAATCAAACACTGCTGGTCTTGGGGAATACCCTCCTTGTCTTGGTTAGCAGCCTGCCTGTCGTCGTCCTCATCAGTTTCGCCATCACCACCGGTAGTATACATGTAGGTAGCGAGTCGCTTGGAATCGCCATCGGAGTCTCCAGTGTGTGCCGTGCGGAGAGAAGGGTGATACACGCTAGCACCCTGACTGTGCTGCAAACTTATAAGCAGGGCCAGGCCCAGGAAGGCAAGAAACATGATTCTCATCTTGATTCGTCGCACGGAGCTGCAGCGGGTTGAGCCATGGGGGTCTGGGGTCGAATCACATTGTGTTATTTTTTTAAACACACACCACTGCCACCAATGTAACAGGCAGCCGAGTGGTAGGCGCGGTGCAATTAACACGAGTTATCTTTTATTATTATTCTCTTAGGTACACACCTGGGATATAATTAGAAGTTAAAGAAGAAGCGGCAAATAAATGGAGCTTTCTCTCCGGTGCGCACCTGGAGGTTGAATAGCTCGTTATTATCAAAATCTCATGAAACAGAAATACGCTGCAGCTTTTATGCAACGGACGCCATACGCTTACATACGGAGATACACTAAAATACATCAGGTAAAGTTCCGTATTAGTTCCGTATTACTTCCGTATTAGCCAGGCAGGGATACTACACATGCACAACATGATGATGAAAGTGTGTTGCTGAGCTTATAAACTGATAGGTATGGTATCGGCTGGGTGTCTAAGGAAAAAATGTGATTATTTACCAAGAGCTACTGTTCTTACCAGCTTCGAGTGTTGTTATAACGCCACTACTTCTGGCTGGGCCATCTTGACCTCCGTGACCTATAGCAGATACACTGATGTTGTAGTCTGAGTTAGGCTGAAGGTGATGAAGTGTGAGTGAGAGCTGATCACTTCCAACACGTCGGTCATGGCTGTTGTTGTACTTGACCAGATAGTGTGTGATTGGACCATTGCGACCAAGCAAGGGTACTTCACTCCATACTACTGTCAGTGATGTTCTGTTGACATTGGTGATGCTTACAGATGCGGGTGGCTCAGATGGGGCTGTGTCAGAATCAAAAATACATCAGAACGTTAAAAAGCCAGGAACATTTAGCTATCAGCTTGCGGCGATGATAGTCACATTTGGCTTTTCTATATTCGGTTTCTCACTTCAAAAGTTCGTGCTCAAAATGCAGGAATTTTCTTCTTCCAGTCATTTTAGTGAAGGCCCAAGATCATCCTCATATTGAGTAAAATATCATGCATGCAAAGTCTGCGGGTTTCAGTGACCGGGGACATGAATAAGGAAACTAACTCTGTCTGTACTGCTTTGAGGGGAATGATCAGAATGGCATCCCAACCGCTCACAGACACCCTGAAGAAAAGAATGAGGAAGTGTGAGGAATAGCGTTCTATGCTCGTATTCCATGTAACGAGTTGATAGGAATAGGGCATTTTGACTCGGAAATACACCCTGGGCGCAGAGCAAAATTCTCGTTAAATTCACATTCTTTGGAATCCGTGGCCATGCATGAGGAAAACAAGGATGCATGAATTGTTTTCAGCACATGTACGGTTTTGGATGATTTTTAACCCATTGGGCCACAATCTACTTTGTCGGAACTGACCAAAATGAGTCTTTTTCGGGCGAGGAATACGACACACTTGATTCCATTCCCTATCCCTGAAAGGGACATTTAGCGTAATAACCAAAAATCTATTCAAATGATAGTTCTAAAGGGGCACAGACCACCAGAATTTCTTAGGTAACATCCTATGGTTGAGGAAGCCATTCAGCCCATTACTGGCATTGCTACTTATCACCAACCTTCGGGTTTAGTTTTGAGACTGAATGGCATTGTATGTGGGCTAATCTTCATGGCAGTGTTGTTGGCAAACCCCTCTATGGAGTACGTTGCATCCTCCTCCAGGTTTTTCAGTATGATGGTTGTGACTTGACTGCAAACCGTTGTAGAGGTTGTTGGCGATGGAGTCCCGGAGACTCTTTCACGGTGGTACAGACAGCAATACCGATGAATTGTGAAATGACCAGTCAGTGTGCCAAACACCACAGTAATTGTTGCTGGAGTTGATGAGTTAGATGTGATCTTTGGAGTTGGTGGAACTGCAAGCCACACGACAACAAGTCATGCACATGAGTCAGTAGCTACTGGCTAGCCCAACAAGTCATGCACATGAGTCAGTAGCTACTAGCTAGCCCAACAAGTCATGCACATGAGTCAGTAGCTACTAGCTAGCTCTGCATGAAGTCAAAGTAAGGTTAGGATGCATAAATAGTATGCAAACTGCAGCCAAATTCCACGTATCTGACTTCTTTGGCGATTCGGGATATTGGATAAATGATAATGTTTGATAACACTTATGTTCTGTTACATGTGAACTGTCACAGACTTATTTTTGCCTCAATTTTGGTTTTGAGGCTGCTGACCACAATGGTGAAGTTTTGTTTTCCATGGCTGAGCGAAAGAGAGCAAAAAGCGTACTTTTCACTCACCAATATTTTCGTGCGTTTGCTCTTGTTCTGCGCAACTCCATTGAACCTGCCATCGTGGTCTTTGTTTTCCTCGTGGTAATTGAAGTTGCCCGCCCACCAACCCCGGTTTCAAGGGGGTCTTCCACTGGACATTTTGATATTCTATGCCGATGTCTGTGGCTTACGATCATGACATACTGTAAATATACAAATTTTCGGCAGCTATTTAATTTCGGCTATATTCGGCACCGACCCAAAACGCCTAAATTAAAACGCCGATGAAATTTTTCACAGCATCTGTCGCAATACCATGCCCTCTACCCCACGCCGAAAATAAATCGCCGCCGAAATGTCAAAAATCGTGAAGTGCCGAAATTTTGCAGCGCCGAAATTTTGTATATTTACAGTACCCCGTATATTACATACAATTTCTTGTTTTCTCTATTCTTGGGTCCGACTGGCAGCGGGCGTTGCAGGAAGTAATAACAGTCATAGATATTTTTTGGCCGGAAGGCGGGTTTTTCCTCTAGCCCAGTTGAGCGGTCGTGGCTAGGAATGTATGATTGTTTTCAGGCGCTCCCTTGCTGCCCACTCACCCATGCTCACCACTTACCATGCTGCTTCTCCTGATTTTGTGGCCCTTTCTGTTGCATGATTTACCGTACTCGCGCGATAAGAGCTCTATCTTGACTTTGTGCTGAAGAAAGCTGTAAATATATTCAATTTTCTCTTTAGGCTATAATCAATTCTACACACTAAGTCACTGTCTCTCTCTCTCTTATTTACAAAACACCTATCATGCGTATACATGCCTATAATTGAATACGCATGCATTGCTGTCACCCCGCTCTCAATCACAGCCCGTGACCGCCTTGAGCGAATCCAGAGCAAGGCGGCCAGAATTTGCCTCCGTCTCCCCCTCTTCACTCCTCCGCATCATTCAGCACTGCTGCACTGGCTCAAATGGCGGACAATGTCACAAGTTTTCTCGTCACAAAGTAAAGCTCACCCTTCTTGCACACTCCATAAATTACCAATATGCACCACAACCCATACGCATGCTCAACACCCCGCTCAAGTTACGCCCCAGTGTAGCCTTCGACACACATGCACTTGGCGCCTCCCACCCACCAGAACCGACCGCTGTAAAGACTCCCCACTGTACAAGTCCCTAGAATACTACAATGCCCTCCCTGCTAGCATTCGTGACGTCTCCTCCCGACCTGCTTTCAAACAAGAAACCTGCTCACTGCTAATTAACTCGATCTGCTCCTGCAGCGCTCACCCTTTCCCATACTTGTAAAATTCAAAGTGATGTAAATCACTTTCCAACTGCATAACCCACAGCCTCACCCACAGCATCTCCCCTTCTCATAAACTTATCTCTTATTGGCGATGGTGCCATCGTGAGAATAAAGAATTCCAAAAAATCTTGAACAGTGCCCTATCTCGAATAGTGCCCCAGTCTCTAAGAGCCAGTGAAAAAACGAGAGAGCTTGGAAGCTCAGGGCCCTACGCTATGCTTTTTTGCCTTGATGACCTAGACAAAAAAGCATAGGGATGTTATAAATTCTTTAAAAAATTCCTTTTTTTAAGACATAACCTGGGATTCGAACCCGCACTATCGCGCCCTGCATGCATCCCCCGATACACTTCGCATACATACTAATTCTTCCAAGTTGCTTCACATTATGATCTTGCATTTGAAAGCTCTATTTGAATATGCATTGTGGCCAGCCGTCTTTGATGGTAGGGTACGGTAGGGGATAGGTACGGGACAGGTACGATCGAGGGTAATACGACACCGTCTCCTGTACCGTACCATCAAACACAGCTGGCCACATACAGCTGCCCGCAATATTCAAATAGGGCTTTCAAACGCAAGATCATAACGTGAAGCAACTTGGAAGAATGGGTATGAATGCGAAGTGTATGGGGGAATGCATGTAGGGCGATAGTGCGGGTTCGAATCCCAGGATATGCCTGAAAAAAAAAGGAGAATTGAAAAATTTATAACATCCCTATGCTTTTTTTGCCGTCAGATACGTGAGAGCGCCAGGCGTGACACAAGCAAACAAACACACAAATACCAAATTAAAGCTGTGTGGACCCTGGCTAGCGCCAGACGTTACTGAAGTAATGTCTTCTGCATAGCTACGGGAATAAAGCCCTCTCTTGAATAGTATCCCCCCCCCCATGCCCGCTGGTAACCAAGCTCACGTGCAAGTTAGGTGATATTTTGCTAACGTTCTTGTCCATGTCACTGCACTGGTGGTTTCGGGATCAAAACGGATCTGAGGAGAAGCCAGAGACTAGCGAAGGCACGACTGAGAAAAATCGAGAAGGTCGGACCAGGAGAGGCAGGTGAAAGTACGGGCGCAGCAGTGAACGCGTCAAGGAGAAAGAAGCGGTGGAGCGAGGAGATGGAGTCGGAGGATGATGATGGGGGTGAACAGGATGGTCAGGAGGACAGCAAGGGTGAGCAGGATCAGGAAGTGGAGGACGAGAGTGATACTGACGAGGAGGAGTTTGATATCGACAAGAGGAAGTCTGCCATCTACAAGCATTTGGTGTCCAGTCCGGATTGTCGTAAGTTGTTTGACGATTCCTGGTTCAGTGTTATTTGTTGCGCACGTTTCTTTAAGCAGTTCCAGGTGTTGGAAGCTGTTTATATTCGTATACGTGACCCTGTGCTATGCAAGCAAAAAGAAAATGTTGTAGCACTCACACTTTTCAAATAATACGCACTCACCAGTTTGTCCACACGCACTCACAGCTGCCACATTCACCTACTGCTACCATTCTCAGATCCACTGAATAAGTTCACACTACACGCGTTATGCATAACCGCGAGCTGCTGCATTCTCACGCTTCTTTTCATATTGGGGGAAGAGTGTGTTGCTCCCTACATGGGAACGCGCGGTTAAGTGAGAATTCAAGTTGGCAGGAAAACCGCGAGCTCCCATGTAGGGAGCAACACACTCTACCCCTACTATCGCCGAAGTCGCACCAACCTCTTCTTCTTTTCATATTATTCTAGCTATAATTATAACTGGTTGTTTTAGTGATTCTTACTATGTGACGATCTTCCACGGATGATAGTCACGGGAAAACGTTCTGGCATTGTTTCATTTTAATTGTTTTATACATGGTTATGAGTGCACAATTAGTATTTTTCATTGCTATTTTACTACTGTTGTCTCCTCGTCAGTTGTAGAAACTTCAGAGATAATCAAAAGAAGGTGGGTTGCACACAATACTTGGGCTTGAAGTCCAGTGTCAAGGCAAGTTGACGGGAAAAGAGTGAGCTCAAGTGTTGGGAGGAACCAACTTCCTTTTAAACGTAACTTTGCTTCCAAATATTCTGTACGATTGTGTGAGGCTCATCTAGATTGAGTTGTCCGTATCTGCATGAATGTTATTATTTCTGGTCGGCCGAGCGGAGCGAGATAGGCGAGAAAAGATTGCTTGCGCAACAACATTTCTCCTCTTGTGAATATAGCGTGTGATATTTTTTCTTCTGTTGTTGTTGTTGTTCTTTTTGTCTGACTTCTTCAGTCAGTTTTTTTAGTCTCACCAGTGTTGCTAGTCACCTCTGGCTGTGGCCTATTACCCCTCACTTTGTACGCTCCTGCCTCCGTTGTCTGTATCTATGTTGATATGTTGGTGTACGTGGATCAAGAACCACCACCCTCTAGGCTGAAGGTGCAAACGCAGCTCCTAAGCGGAGAGAAAGATGATGAGAATTCAGCATAAAGGAATAATATTTGGACTTGTGGAATGCATGTGCATCAATGCAGTTGATAAAAGAATTGACAACACATAGTACCGGAATATAAAAAACACGACACTTACCATTCTGTGATGTTGTGACATTGGTGTACTTTGAGTAAACACCTAGCCCTCCTGATGAGATGGCTGCAACTGAAACTTTATACATGGAGTTGAATTTCAAGCCAGTCACGTTCGCGTTCTCTGTTGTAGTGTGCACATACGTTATCAGGTTCGTGCCTTGCCAGCATGTAACATTGTAGCCCACCAGTACTCCATTTAACGCGTATGGGTCCACAGCCAACCAGCTAATACGGACAGTTGTAGCTGTGCTTGACCTGAATTGTATATCTGACGGGGCTACATGTGGAGCTGCAAATAGAGAACAGTGGATAATGAAAGGTGATAAGACGAATTTTGAAGATTCCATCCCAAATTTTGAATTACAGTTTCAAGCTTCCACAGTAAAATTTCATGAAGAGCTTGGTACACCTATTCTATCATTCGGCTGCCATTTTGGGGCAGCTGAGTTTTGCTTCATTCTCAGCATCCCCAGACAAGGTTCCTGATCATGGTCTGCGATCCGTATATTCTGTAGCGGCATGACTCTGACGATGACGTCACATCATACACAAAGCATGCGCAAGAAAATAAATAAACAGTTTCCTCCGAGACAAAAATGCGATAATACTCATAAAAAGGACACAATTCAGGCTCTTTACGAACATCTTGAAAGTCGTTTGGTTTCACAAGTATACTTTCAAGCCTTCTCATCAGGTGAAATACAGGTAAGGGAAAAGGAACAGGAACAGCAATCTAGCACTGCGTACACGTGACAAATAAATCTTTCCCTTTGGCCTCAACTTCCTTGTTGCACAGTTGACGATCCCAGCCGTCCATTTCAGCCGGCCTAAAACCCTAAAATTCAAAATCGTCCAGCTGGTTTTTGAAAGACAAATTTTTGTCCGAATTGAGGCTAAAACCTACTTGAATTTTGATAAATACGGATGTTTGACCTGCTTCTACATACATTTTGCCATGATTGTAATATCGTGTCATGTCTTTTAAAATTAGTGAAACCTGGCCAGATTTGAAGTTTACTCTCCTTGGCCTTTTCTGGCCTCAAAAGCGGAAAGTAAAATCTCGCAAAGCAGGATGTAGAGTTGCATTCAGCGAAGCTACCACCATGCACAAGGTTCAGTGGAAACAATCTGTGCATCTCTCCTCTAGATTTTCTTGCCGCAAGTTCTTACGCGATCATCAGGAGACTATGCTTATTGGACTGTATCCTACTGTTGTACATCGGACTAGTTTCTCTTGAAAGTTTTAGATTTAGGAAAGGGGTTTCTCTCGAACTCGGTTCCTGGACATTTTGAGTGTGGGCTATTAACACCTACAAAAGAAGGAAGGCCAGTGTGAGCGCCATGGCTTTGTGGAAGGCACAACCTGTAGTGTACGCTACGGTTGAACACTTTAAAACTTCTGCCATAATCACATACACAAGGGAACAAGGAACAGGTATGTGGTAGGACAACATTTATTAGTGAGACCGAGAAACGGAGAGAAAGACGAACGATTACATGATGAAAGGGAGAGAGAGAGTTTTGAGAGAAGGAGTGCAAGATCAAGGGCCTGGGTAGCTACAGCAAATATGGTCATGCAAGTAGCTAGCCAGGCCAAGAAAAGGTGGGTACGTGAGGGTAAGTACAGGGTGCATATAGGTCAGCAGGGAAAGGTTGTGGAAGGAGGCAATGTACGGGAGGAGGTACATAACACTTCTATGGTGGACGAGGTAACCCAGTCGGAGGTCAAGCGGCCCTAGGGTGCCAGCCATGCAGCCGTGAGTACGCAAACGATCAACAAGTGCTCTGTGCATGCAACTTTCTGTACGCACTGAGGGTGCCGGCCCCAGTCATTCGACTGGATTTCCAAGTCCACGGCAGTAGTTGTGGTTGCCACAGCAGTATCTCTCCTCGTATTGTCTCTTTCTCTCTCATCTGTAAAAGTGCATGCTGGACGTAAATATATCTGCAGTCTTTGTCTTGTGCCCACAATGGACGTGTGCTTGGCTTACAGGCTAAACACAACACACACTTTGCAGAGATTGGCACGACGATTAGTGTGCACGGGAAACCTCCTGGGGGCTGACCTGTCAATACCACATTGAGTGCTCTCAGGATTAGTTTTCAAGCTTGCACTTGTTGCAGTATGTTATTTTGTGTACGTCGTGTGTACGTCATGTTGGTGCATGCGTGTGTTGCTGTGGTGTGAAAAGCAGTCTTCGTAGTGAGTTCGTCATGTCTAGTTGTGTTTCCGTAGTCACCTTGCAATAAACAGTCTTTCAAATGTAGGTATCGTCGTCCCTTTGTATAAGTGTGGAGATGGCACGGGACTGGGAGCAGGTGGAGAAAGGGCAGAGGGCAGTTACAACACACTCTCTACCACAATACATGACAATCAATCAAGTTTAGCACCCGGATGGAGATAACGTCTTAGGGTTGGTTCACATAAGCAAAATCGGCGCCGCAAGACATCGCTAGACATCGGTGGTGAGTCAGCTCCCGATCCGTTGCGCATACGGTTCGAGTACCAAATCTACTACAAAGTAGTACAGAATGAGCCCAAATGCTACGACAGGTTTGCCAATTGAAGATTGAATTCTTTGTTTCTCCAGTAGTTCAAGGTCTTTCGGTGATGGCCTCTCGGTGCTACCTTTTACTGGAGATCATGAAACTACTTCTACACATTTTATTGCAGTCTAGTGAACGATTGTGTCGAAATTATGCTTGCAAACGTTAATGAAGTCACAAGAACTTGCCAATGTATCCATCATATTTTTTATTTGTTTCAATTGTATTTGTCTCATAAGTTGCACAATGGGCAAGCAGATCATCCGAGAAGGACGGGTTGGTATGCTGACGTATTTGCCACCTTGAAGCGACTACAAGAATGGCGAACGGACCTCCTCTCTAGCTTCAATTTAGAAAAATTTAGGACAAGTATTGGTTTGAAATTTTGACAAAGTCTGGCTCCCGGCAGCCGGCGATCACCGGCGCGAACGGTTCACAAACCACTTTTGGTCAAAATTGTACGGGATCGGCGCTGGGGCAGAGCGCAAGAGTTGGGCAGTGTCCAACTTTGCCGGCGGTCCCTTGCGATATTTTACCGTATGATTTTGTTACGACTGCACTGGTTCACATAATCGCAATGCGCCGGGAGAGGTTGCAAGAGACCCACTCCCGATGACTCCCGACGCGTACCGGCGATATGTGAACCAACCCTTACTGTCATCGCTAACACAGCATTTTTAATGTTGTGTTAGCGATGACAGTAAGGGCAGTACGTGGCATGTGGCCTCCAATTTCCTAATACTTGGAAATTCTCCGTGAAGTCCAAATTTGAAATTGCAACTTATTACTTAGCTTATGATATGGGTAATGTTTAGTCATTAAAATGACTAAACATTACCCATATCATAAGCTAAGTAATAAGTTGCAATTTCAAATTTGGACATCACGGAGAATTTCCAAGTATTAGGAAATTGGAGGCCACATGCCACGTACTGCTCTTTTCTCTCCGAAACTCAACACTTTTTCCTTCTTTCGTATCTGGCTTTCAAGTGTTGAGTTTCGGAGAGAAAAGAGCAGTACGTGGCATGTGGCCTCCAATTTCCTAATACTAAGTAATAAGTGATGTGGTAGTTCATGCAGAGTTTGAATTGATTAAAGTTACTACAGCACAAGGAAGGGAATTGTGTGGTGCTCCCTACGTGGGAGCTCTCGCTTTTCCTGTCGCACCAACCTCTTCTGTACAAGGAAGGCCACAAGAAATCCTTGGTTTTGTCTCAGGTTTTGTCGGTGCCTTATTTTCCGGAGTATAAGATGCACTTTCAACACCAGTAGTTCACCGCAAAGCAGTAAGTAAGGCGTATACTGTGATGGGCAAATGAATCGTGAAAAACAGGGTAGATGTCTGTATTTCGTGACAACAAAATCTGGGTACGGCTTATTTAACGGAAAAAAAGGTACCTCTTGTACAGAATGAAGTGGGGTTCATACAAATGCATCAGTACATGTACAGTCCAACCTCATTAGGATGAACACTGATAAGGTGAACTTTCATTTAGTACGAACTAGGGCCAATCCTATGGTTGGCCAGGCATCATCATATCAAGTCAAAATTATTCATTTACGACGAACTCTGCAGGGCGAACTTTCCCGAAGACGAACTAATTTCGAGCGTGATTTGAACAAAATCAGTGTGTAGTACGAACTTTCGGTCCCCGTGGGTACGCTGGCTGTAGATTCTTTCCGATAGTCGATGCCTCTTGTACTGGCAAAACATGTTACAAGGCGGATGTAATCATGTCATGAATTCATTGCACATTGTACTTACCTATTGCTGGCTTATGTTATGAAAAAATGTTTTACATTTGCGACAGCATGCATCTTCACATAAATTCAATCCATATGATGTGCATATCAATTATTTTGTCAGATCTGGATAAGAAGAACTCCGGATAAGATTAAAAAAACGTGTTTGGTCACTTGAAGCTCGTCCTAACAAGGTTTGACTGTACCAAGGCAAAGCCAATGGTCCAAATATCAACCTGGATCATGGGCATGTTGTGTTAAGTATCGGTGAATGTGGAGATGATGCGGGACTAGCAGTAGCAACAATTCGACCTGAGAACAACAAAATGAGAACAATAATATTATTTACCTGTTGCTGGTGTGGTGAAGTTTTGAATAAATGTGGGATATCCGTCAACCGGACGTGTGTCCTTTATTACACAGTATGGCCGCGGGTTACCGTAACTGGCATCCTCCTCAACAGGTGAGAAGACAATGGGACTAGTACGGTTACAAACCGTCACCTTATGCCTGTTGGACTTTGGTATGTTAGATACGGAATACCTCGTGAAGTAACAGCAGAACTTGGAGAAACGGTAATTTCCTGTGCTTGCAGAGATGTTCACGATGACCTTTGTCGGAAATATCTCAACAAAAACGCTTGGCTTTGGCGCATCTGCACAGAAAATAAGGGAAATGAAGTGAGGAATTAAGCGCTCAATAGTCTTTGGTGCCACATACTGTAAAAGCCCGTTAATAAGCATGTACAAGTAGACTCCCTAAAATTCGAACCTCAAATTGCCAGGCCCCAACTTCTAATTATCAGGAACTTCTAATTATCCAAATGCAGCCCAATGCACTGATATGTATGTCAAAATGCTCGAAATCGCGTGCTGATTATTTTCGCACGTTTTATTCGCATCAACGAAACATAGGTGGTCATGTACAATGCACCAGGCCATTTTATAATAAAACAATGGATTAACACAAAGATGATATCTTGATCTTCTAGTAAAGAAGTTGCCGGGCACTGCAGCTGTCCTGAAACAATTTCAAGGAAAAGAACAGCGCCGCCTAATCCGCATCATGAAAGGCCGTTGGACAGCAGCACGTCGTTCTGAGGAACGGAAGCTGTTGCTTGCCCTTGCTTTATTCTTATTTTTCCTGACCCTTACCGCTCTATCATTTGTTTTTGGTGCGTGTTTCTGGCCGTGATGCCGAGACCTCAGGTCGGCAGAGCCATCAATGCCCCACCATCACTGCTGCACCTCGGTGCAGCCCCTTCTCAGTAGTTGTCACGTTTGTCCTTGTCTCAGTACCATTGTCTTCTGTATTATTTATGAGTTGGGTATGTAAACATAGTAAAAAAATATAATAAATAAAAAATAAAAAAGCGGCGCATAGCATCTCTGCGCGCGAGCTGGCGCTGCATGAAAGGCCACTGAGATCCGCGAACGGAGTCAGCCACCTGGAAGAAGTCGTCTTCAATCAAATCTTTGCACTTTGCCTCCCACAGGCTTGAATCAAATTTCGAGAGAAGGTGGGCTTCTTGAACGCTACTGTCGATCCTGCAGCGGACCAGGGATCGATTTTTGAGCTACTCTAGGCTAGAGAAGGACAAAAGAATGAACTCCGAATTACAATTACAGTCTGTATCGGCTATAGCGTACCCTTTTGATTTCCGTGATTTTATCACTATAACCGATGCATCACTATATGCGATACGATCGATTTTTTTCGAGCGACACATGAAAAGCAAGGGAATACTTCCAGCATGGCGTTTTGACAAATGAGCATGCTGCATAGTTGACAGTGCCCGCATTTCCATAAAAAATTCTGTTATGTACATGTACATGTACATGTGTCACTATCAAAATAAGCAACGTGAAGAAAGTAAAAAAATAGGGCCTTTGATATTATTGCAACATGTATTTTAAAGTTATCACTATAGCCCATTATAATGTAGTGTGTTATGCATGTTTTGATTCTATGTTGCCATCATAATATCCGATATATCATTACATCCGATAATATTGGTTATAGTGATATTTGTACAGGATAAAATACGTTTTGCTTTTGATATTTCGTACCAATATCACTGTAGCCGATATATTCTTATATCCGGTCACTCTATAGCCGATACAGACTGTATAATACCTCCATCTCACTTCGAAATAAGCGTTCCAAGGACATAGTCACTATACTGCAAACTACTCTTCTGTACGAAGACTGAGTTTGAATTTTCCAATCGGCGCACGTTTCGTCCTTCGAATGACGCATTCGAATTCGACTTGAAGTGACTTGCAGGAGATCGGTACGAAGAAAAAGTTCGAATTACACGGAATGTTCGAATTATACCGTATTCGAATTAGAGGGAGTCTACCTGTACTTACTTTCGAATTTAGTGGTCGCACCCGTACTAACTTTCGGGTGGGTACTAACTTTCGGGTGGGTTCTAACTTTCGGGTGGGTACTAACTTTCGGGTGGGTACTAACTTTCGGGTGGGTACTAACTTTTGGGTGGGTACTAACTTTCGGGTGGGTACTAACTTTCGGGTGGGTACTAACTTTCGGGCAGGTACTAACTTTCGGGCGGGTACTTTCAGGCGGGTACTAACTTTTGGGCGGGTACTAACTTTCGGGCGGGTACTAACTTTCGGGCACGAACTAACTTTCGGACCCGACTTGTGTGTAGTGGAGAAGTAATTTTCATAAAAAGAAAATGTACATGCTAAGCGCTGCATCTGTGAACCATACCGGTACTTATTTTGGGCAGTATGTTTATCGGGCTGAACTAGACTTCAACAGACAGAATCAAAAGGATGAAGGGGGTATTTATTTTGGGCAGGTACTTATCTACGAACTTTTACGGTAAATGACTTCTTCAATGTGTATGTGTGCGTATGTGTGCCTGTGTAATAGCTGGCCCCTCCAGTCTCGCCGGAGGCGTGGGTTCGAATCCCACCGCTGCCACCAATGGAATAGCTGGCCGTCGGAGACAATTTCACACACTCAAACAAAGCACTCACTTTGTGGTTTCACGAATACTCGTTAGGACAGAATTATTAGTTGCACACTCGGCAAGTAAAGATAAGAAGTGAAAAAGCACAAGATAAGAACAATGCAAGAAGACAAAACACACGGCGAATGGCAGCCATGTTCTTTAGGTCATCAACCAATGAGCAATCTATATAAACCGGTCGCCGACGAAATTCTAGAATATTCCAGAGCTGTGAACTGTGATTGGTTAAATTATGCTAATGTTCTAGAACAATAACACTAGCAGCAGTCATACGGGTAAATACGGGTTTAGCCATACACGACTCATACATTACTCACGAGCGACTGTCGGAAAGGGTAATAACATGCAGATACAAAATACGCAAGGAGAGAAAAAAATGTAACTAACTGCCCATCTTGGGGTTTGAACCTAGGAATCTGTATCAACACAAGCTCTACAAATAAATACTCTTTTACTGCGAAAAATATACTTTCTATTAAAATGCAACTCCTACACCTGTACCTGCAACCTTTGTTTGTTCCAGGGTTCAGATATTTTCTTTTTGAAGTATACATGCCTGTTAACCATGGACTACTTCTGGCTAGATTAACTCTTGTGTAATCAATGGTGCTAGTGAAGCTTATATCAGACCAACTCTCAGTGCTGCCAAATTTTCCGTATTTGTACGGAAATTGACCGAAATTGTACGGGAAAACTGAGAAGTATGGATCTGCTGACTATGAACCAGTTTTACACATGACTACATACTTTACCTGTGCATGTACATGTATGCAGAGCACATAAAATTGCCAAGTACACGCTAAAACAGTATTCCATTCGACTCAGCACCCTGATGACTACAACTAAACTGGTGAAAATTTGATTTCAGCCTTTACTTCCCCTTTAAATATTCATTCTTTTCGCAAAAATACATTATAAATCGTGGGATTAAAACAATTTGGTAGCACGCAAAAACTCTGGAAAATACGGAAATTCAGCCGCCCGAGTACGCAAATCAGACCGAGCAGGTTGGCAGCACTGAACTCTGATTGAGCCACCCACACTAGTAGCAAGCATTACCTTCACTGGGGCAGGGGTAAATGCAGTTATTATTATTTTTTAGAGTGAAAAAGGAGGACAAAATGTTACGAGTTATGACTAAGTGTCCACCAACGTAACCAGATCTTATACAGTCAGCGAGTGCGACAAAATGGCCCAAAACTGACAAAGGAGTACGGAGACATTTGGCGACCTGACACCTAGCTCCAACACTTCTCCAATGCGCAAACCAACAATCTTCCAACCTCTCTCCCCTCTCCCGGGGTGACCCAGGTGACTAGTTTTGGCAGTGAGCAAGTACAGTACAGTACAGTACAGTACAGTACAGTAGTGTGTGTGTGTGTGTGTGTGTGTGTGTGTGTGTGTGTGTGTGTGTGTGTGTGTGTGTGTGTGTGTGTGTGTGTGTGTGTGTGTGTGTGTGTGTGTGTGTGATCTAGCCCAGAGAGCGCGTCTTCCTGAAGACATTGGCACTCTCCTGCGTGAGTACCGTCTGCGTTGGCTGGGTCATGTTGCCCGTATGGACGCGGCACGGATTCCTCAACAAGTGTTGTTTGGGGAGCTCGAGGCAACCAGACCACGGCATGGGCCAAAGAAGCGTTGGCGAGACACGATTGTCGGTGATCTGCGCTCACTGGATATTCCGGAGTCCGAGTGGTATCGGCTCGCGCAAGATCGCCCGGAATGGCGCAGGTGGGTCCATCAACATCGTCTTCCTCCCCCGGCACCGAAGGACTTTCACTGCGCATGCGGCAGAGCGTTTAGGAGAAGTGGCGATTTGAAGCGTCACATCAAGTACTGCCCAACTCAGTAGCCTATCATCTCCACTGGAGATGGGGCGTCAAAGGTCAAAGGTGTGTGTGTGTGTGTGTGTGTGTGTGTGTGTGTGTGTGTGTGTGTGTGTGTGTGCGTATGCATGTGTGTGCGTGTGTGTGTACTTCCTCCGTATACAAAAACTTCGTGACTTTTTTTCAACGGTGTTTTTGAGCAAGAACCTGCTCAACGAACCGCACCAAAGGCTGTCATAGACAGCCCACATTCATGTGATGTAGGTTTGGTTGATCTCGAACAGATTCTCTACGGAAGCCATGCGTGCGAGGACGTTGCCGACAGGAACTCACGAGTCAAATGACAAAAAAATAGCACTAACTTGCTCGAAACTGACACTGTGACGAAGTGGAGCTCTCGCCTGGAGCACGGAGTCACGACTCACGCTGCACTCGCTGCCCTGAAACTGGCCAGGCTCGTACTTGCGGTGCGCGGCCCCATACGCAGCGTGACAACATAAATCGGTTCAGCTCGCACGGAAAGATGAAACATTTGAGTCGTTGTGCAACCAGCGCAGACTCCGGATCGGAATGTCGACGACCTGGCTTTCTTCGCCTCTCTCTACTCCAGTCGGACGTCTCCGTTGTGGCCTAGGGGAATCGCAGGGACCTCGTCGAAGCCGTTGTAGAATGCTGGGAGGATTCTCCTGCCGAGAAAATGCGAAGCGTGTGGATGTGCTTGAGCGACTCGTTTCACGGCATAATGGAGGTCGCGGGTTGGAACGACTGAATATAGTCGACATCGATTCGTACACAGCTCTGGAAATGAAGAGTGTAGTGGATGCACATCCCACTGTTTGTCATTGTATCCTTTTATGTAACATGTATGCATTCATCCGGCCGCGCTGTGCGACATGCCAGTTGTACCGTACGCACTTTAGCTGTACTTGCCTGCCTGGCTTTTCCTTTGATCTCTCTGTCGTTCTCTGTATTCCCACACACTTGTGATTTGTAGTAACGAAGCTAGTTACAAGATGTCTTTGGTGCGTTTGTAGAACCACTACATGGTGTCAGAAGTGGGATTCGATGCGCCTGCTCACGTACAATCCAGCCGCTGTGTATGTCCCTGGCAAAGAGCTAGTTGTTGCCGATGCTCTGTCTCGCGCTCCGCTCGCCTGTGACGACACGCCTGGTCTCCAAGACGAGATCAGCGTCAACCTCGCATCTTACATCGGCGAGATCGTGTCGGATGGTAAAGCCCGTGACATTGCTGACGCCACCACACAAGATGAGACGCTCAAGCAAGTCCTCCACTTCGTCCAACACGGATGGCCGTGCAACCCACGTGATGTCGACGACACTGTGCGCCCATACTTCCATTAACGCCAGTTACTGTCCTGTGAGCAAGGTGTGCTGTACCATGGCTTCCGCATTGTCATGCCACCCTCTCTGCAGCCTGAGATGCTCGAGAAGCTCCACGAGGGACATCAAGGTGCAACGAAGTGCAAGTCTCGCGCCCGCCATTCCATTTGGTGGCCAGGCTTGTCAAGGCAAATCGACACGATGGTCGCTACGTGTGAAGTGTGCACCAAACACCGCGTCCAGTCGACCGAACCACTGCAACCCGTCCAACGCCCAACACTGCCGTGGCACACGGTTGGTGCAGATCTGATGGAATTCAACGGCACGACTTACCTCGTCATTGTTGACTATCTCTCGCGTTACCTCGATGTCGTACCGCTGACTGCCACAACCTCGATTGCTGTCATCAAGCATCTGCACCGCATCTGTGCCGAGCATGGTTTCCCGTCCACCTTGGTTACAGACAACGGTCCTCAGTTTGCCAGCGAAGCGTTTACTGAGTTCTGCACAGCAAACGACATCACCCATCGCACTTCCAGTCCACGGTATCCTCAGTCGAATGGCGAAGCGGAACGTGCAGTTCGCACCGCCAAGAATCTCCTGCGGAAGGCCGAAAGCCTGCAAGATGCACTCTTGGCTTACCGCACGACACCGCTGAGCAACGGCTATGCCCCATGTCAGCTGTTGTATGGCCGCCAGCTCCGTACCGGTCTACCTGCAACGACTGAACAGCTGGAACCGAAATGGCCAGATCTCCCTAGTATTCTGGAATCGGAAACTCAGTCCCAGGAACAGCAGAAGTTGCACTACGACCAACGGCATGCAGCTAAGCCTCTCGCGACTCTACAGCTTCATGACCGTGTATTCATCACCGATCTCGAACGGGAGGGCAAGATAGTAGAGCAAGTGTCCAATCGTTCTTACCTCGTTGAGTCTGGTAACTCTACTGTTCGCCGCAATCGTCGTCACTTGATCCGACTGCCACTGCTAGAAGCAGAGAAGCCGACAGTCGAGGTTGAGTACGGTGGCACAGCAGCTGATCCAGTCCGTCGCTCTGCTAGAGCTCCTCAGCCTGTCAACCGCCTCATTGAATCATGCTAATTCAGCAACGTGCCGAGACGTATCTGCCGTCGTCTCTGCACATCACTCTTTCACTGCAACTTGCTCTACAAACAATACCTACATTATCGAATAGTCTTTGGACTCCTCATCTTCTCTATTATAGCCTGTTTAATCTCAGAGGGGAGATGTAGTGGATGCACATCCCACTGTTTGTCATTGTATCCTTTTATGTAACATGTATGCATTCATCCGGCCGCGCTGTGCGACATGCCAGTTGTACCGTACGCACTTTAGCTGTACTTGCCTGCCTGGCTTTTCCTTTGATCTCTCTGTCGTTCTCTGTATTCCCACACACTTGTGATTTTTAGTAACGAAGCTAGTTACAAGATGTCTTTGGTGCGTTTGTAGAACCACTACAAAGAGTACGCTAGCCAAAGTCCCGCGTCGGATCATCATTGCAGCTGAAAAGAATCTGAACGAATTGTGAGCGGAAGCAGCGACTTTTGGCGATGCGGTGTCAGTGTCGTCAGGTGACAATGACAGGAGCGACGAAGACTCTGAATAAACTCAATCTCATTCGTCTGAGTTGCTTTTTTTTGTATATAGCTTGTAAACAGGTTAGACAATGCCACGAGTGTTATTCCAAGTCAAACGGAACAATTCCAGAACTATGCACAGCCTTAAAAAAAAGTCACGAAGTTTTTGTATACGGAAGAAGTATAATTATATGTATGCATGTGTGTACATAGCAAACTCAGCGGAGGACGTTCAGGTTGGTTGTAACTCTGAGTTTCATGCCGTTAGGCAATCATCAGACAACTGATACTCGGGTCTACCCAACAGTATGCTTATAATCACATAGGGCCACAAGCATAAACTAATTTAGCGCTAAATCTGGTGTGAGGTATGGGGAGAAAGCTGGCGCGGGCCAAGGCACGACAGTAGAAGTGCCAGGAGGGTGGCGGGCAACAGGCAGGTGTGAGCATGAAAGCGCGGGAAGAAGCGATGGGGAGGCAGTGTACAGTTTTCTCCCCATACCTCACACCAGATTTAGCGCTAAATTTGTTTATGCTTGTGGCCCTATGTGTTTATAAGAATACTGTTGGGTAGACCCGAGTATCAGTTGTCTGATGGTTGCCTAACGGCATGAAACTCAGAGTTACAACCAACCTGAACGTCCTCCGCTGAGTCTGCTATTTACTAAGCTCTGTCTCTGACATTGAGCACTCTCTGCAGCTCGGGGATCAACGGATTTGTATGCATGTGTGTGTAATTATATGTATGCATGTGTGTGTGTGTATAATTATATGTATGCATTAGGGGTGAAACGATTAGTTCGAATATTCGAGTATTCGTTCGAAAATTTCAAAGGAGCGAGTATTCGAAATTTTGCACTCGATCGTTTTTTATTTATTTTTTTTTATTTTTTTATTTTTAGGATTGGCATTGTTTTTTAAAAAACTTTTGTTGTACCGCTGGTCCACTGGTATGCATGCGTTATGCATGGCTTTGAGTCAGTATTTTAAGACTTGGACGATGCGATCACCACGGCAAGTAACGTTCTGAGATATGAAAGTACTGATGAAAATCGTTACTTTACACTCTGTACAAGACGTTGGCGACTTTTGTTCTATGTTCACAGATAATTTCTTCCGAATTGGTCGAGAACTTGCAAATCTAGCGCTTTTGAATTTTGATAAAATACTAATCGGATACTCGATCGAATATTATGAACGAGTGATCGGTTGGTCAAAATAGATACTCGTTTCACCCCTAACTATGCATGTGTGTATACGTATATGTGTATACTTATGTGTGTATACGTAGGTACATGTATGTGCAGGTACAGTCTACTCGCATTAAGCCGCGCACCCTATCTTGAAGACAAGAAATGCGTGACTTATCGCGAGTGCGCGACTTGCACAATGGTATACGTATATAAAACATATATGCCGTCCAAATTGCAAAAGTGCGCGATTTGTCTCGAGAGCGTGACTTAAAATTTCATGACTTATCGCGAGTAGACTGTACTCGTATGCGTACATGTACTGTATGTATCCATACAAGAGGCGTGTGTGTGTGTATATTATGTGTGTATGTGCGTATGTGTGTATATGTGTATGTGTGTATGTGTGTATGTGTGAATGTACTGTATGTATCCATACAAGAGGCGTGTGTATATTATGTGTGTATTATGTATGTATGTGTGTATATTATGTGTGTATGTACTGTATGCGTGGACCGTATTATCTCTATTAACTCAGTCTCTTGTAGAAGCCCAGTCTCTATTATAAGCGCACTCCAAGAGGGCTTCGAAGATGTACAAGCGCAGGGCTTATAAAGGAGAACTGTATGGATCATGTCCATGCATGTTTGACATCACACAGTATCACATAAACACATGCTGTGGTAAAGGTCTGTGATCCCTGAAATCTAATGTTCAGACTGAGTGTACCTGGAAGCACAAAACTGCAGTCTCGGTACCTGCTAGGAAACTTTGTGCTACTGATACAATGAAAAATAATAGGTAATTTATATGTACCAGGTGGTTGAAAAACTATAAGCCCAGTCTCTAGTAGAAGCCCAGTCTCTAATCCGGACTGGTTGAAAAAATATAGGCGCGGGCTTATAATGGAGATAACACAGTATGTGTGTGTCCGTGCATGTGTGTCTGTGTGTGCGTTTGTGCATGCATGTGTGCAAATGACTCGTGTGGATGGGTGTGATATGAGTGCGCGTGTGTACTTGAAGGTGTGCAGGAGTGCCAGTAAAGTAGTTTTTCACTGTGGTGTTGATTTCTGGCTATATGCGTGACCTATCCATTTCTTGTTGGTCTGTGCTGACTTCACAGTCCGGACTTACCGTCTTGTGAGGTGGTGGCGCTCACCGGAGAAGTATATGGGCCAATACCACCAGTTGAGATTGCTGCTACCTCGAAGCTGTATGTATAACCTGGGTCCAAGCCGGATATGTTAGCCATCTCTGACAGGGTCACATTGAACATGGTTACAACCATTCCTTCATCTGTATATTTCACACTGTAACCCAGTAATTCCCCGTTCAGAAGCAGATAATCAACTGGTGTCCAGGAAATAGAGATAGATGTAGGTTTTTTTAATCCGATGGGCAGTACTCCCGGGGGATCATCTGGAGCTGCAGAACATAATTATAGTAAAAGCAGTACATAGCAACATGGTAAAACAGGGATATATACCCGCAGGGCCCGATATGCGTGCAATGATGGCCAACCCTAAATTGGTACCCAAACGGTGTCTGCATTTTGTGGAATGGAACCAGCAAGTTCCCTATAAAACGACCTTTTAAAGCGACATTACTCATGCAGTCTTCATAAGAAGAAAAGAGGACCAAAGAGCTGCAAGTTATGCTATAATATCCACTGACATCACCAGTTACTTTACTATCAGATCATGCGATAACACTGCACGATACTGACCAAAGGTACACTTAACTGGCGCTCAGCTCAAGCAAGCGTTTTTTATGAAAGGAAGATGCAATATGATAATGAATAATGTTGTCTTCAAAGTGTTTGTGGAGCAATGCAAACATGAACAAGCAATGGTGGAGAAGAAAAAATGTGCAATAGTCGTCAAGGAGTGTCCAGAAATGTTTCTTAGTTTTTTCGGCTGCTACCGTTCGCGTCTCGTATACACCGTGGCATTCGAACCACGATCAAAATACAGTCGAACTCTACCCTTATAACAGTAACATGTCGTGGTTTGTCTCCACCCAAGTCTAGTGTTCAGTATTCTCTGGTAAAGCTCCCCACAGATTATATGAAACTTGAATACAGATCCTACCTCCAGGCACAACATCAGTACAAGAAGTAGCAGTATGGCAGGCAGGGGGTAATTCCACCTGTACGTGATATCGGTTTAATAACGGCAAAAACTCAGTACCACATACTATGAAGGTTGTACCAGGGCCTTTCCCACTAAGAAAAGTTCTACCATCTTGATAGAAATACATAGGGCTATAGCTGGTTTAGCTATAGCTGGAGCTTGAGACCACGATCGGCACCCCACAGGGCGACTGCCTATCTCCAGTTCTTTTTGTCATTTACTGGGAATCAGCGCTACGTGATCTCAAGGCCACGTTACCTCCCAGGCTGCCAGCTGATGAGCTCTTGCCTGGGGAAGTTATCTATGCTGATGATACGGATTTTCTGAGCAGCTCACGGACATGGTTGGATATTTTCAGCCCAAGCATAACTGAGGCCCTCAGAGAATGGCATCTCAAAGTGAACGAAGAGAAAACTGAGCAAAAAACACTACGCAGAGAAGGGGATCGTCTAGCGGAAGTCTGGAGAAAGACATGTAAACTTGGGTCACTTCTGGGTGATGAACAAGACGTGATCAGAAGGAAGCAGCTCACAACAGCTGCTTTCAGGTCACTCTTTGCTGTGTGGTGTTGACGAGAGCTTATCAGTGAGAAGATGCGCCAGAGGCTCTATCAGGCGTTTGTCATACCAGTACTGACCTACACTGACGGCGGAACATGGGGCTTGAAGGTGGCTTTGGAGCAGAGTCTCGATTCCTTCCACCGTCAGCAACTGCGATCACTACTTGGCATTAGTTGGCGTCAGAAGATGACGAATGTCTCTTTGTACGCCAGGTGCAAAGCTGAGCAAATCACCAACATTCTCAAGCGTCTGCGGTGGCAACTCTTGTATTGTATACCTGTGTTTACTGCTTACTGCTTACTGCTGCTTTATTGTTCCAAGTATCAGTTTAGTTTAGTTTAAATATCTCTTATTATTATTATTATTATTATTATTTTTTTTTTTTTTTTCTCACCCCACACCCCTCTACTCTGTTATCGGCCCTCTTAAGAGTTGTGTTCATCACTGTTGAGGCTTCCGATGGAAAATAAAAGACTACTACTACTACTAACTCTTTGGTCACATTCTCCGCTTGCCAGAGGACACCCCAGCATCATTGGCAATGGCGGCGTATTTCACGCACGATGAGAAGACCTGGCGAGGACGCCCACGTGTCACAATTGTCACGAAGCTGTCGGGAAACCTGGCGAAAGCGGATAATGGAAGGCTTGTGTCGCTTGGTGACTTGCAGCGCCTACGGATCCTGGCAAGGGACCGTGCAGGGTGGAGAGGACTCTGTGCCGTCGTATGTTTCTCTTGACTGGTTTACACAGAACGGATATATATTATGATGTCATTTGATTTATGGTTTTGGCAGAGCATTCTATTTCCGGCATATGCGAATATGTGGGTTGCCATTGTTCGGGTGACATTGCCGCGGAAATGCATATAATAATAATAATATACCGTATTTTCCGGGGTATAAGCCGCACCGGGGTATAAGCCGCACCCCCCTTTTTGAGGAAAAATATTAACTAATAGTTGGTATTCGGAGTATAAGCCGCATCCACAAACCAAGATTTTTCACACTCATTGACAAATGGCCTTTCTACAAATTTATTATGGTTATGGAGCTAAATACCATGTTAGATCAGATTATGAAGTGTAAGTGCACCACAGGTTGCTGCAGAGATGTTGGTGTATTGCTGTGTTGACTACAGATCACTCCATGTCATCTGCACTATCTTCAGTCTCGCTGCCACTGATGTTGATCAAAGCTACCTCTGCAACGATGCCGTCGCCGTCTTCATTGCTGCCGGAGTCTGAATCATTGTGGTCCTCAAAGATCATGTCATCTTCTGTCGCGGCGACCTTGTCGCGCGATTTGTATCATGTTTGTGCCTGTTCTTGTTTCAGTACAAAACGCTAGTTCCATGCCCACGTTCCCGTGCTTTGTATGACTTGTTCTGGCCCACGTATGCATGACTGTACATGTACTTGTCAAGGCACGTGCATGCAGCACAGTTTGACGCGCTTTTGGGAATGTGTTTTTTCTTCTCCCACGGTGGTGGGTTATGCGGCTCTTCTTGGACACGAGTGGTTTTTCAGTTTTGTTGTTCTCTAGCATTATTCTGGAAAGAGCGATTACTACAGACTCCTTTGTCCTATGATGTGTGCCACCGGTAGAGGTGAGATCGGACTTGTGACCTGTGTTGATAAATCGAGAGATTGGGAATCCTAATCTTTCGACATCTTCAGTGCCGTCCAGTGCATTTGAAATTGAGCACTTTTTGAATGATTTGGCGACCATTGTAGTTGGGATGGTCTTCCATGACTCATCCACCCATTTGCATACTTTGGAAATTGATGGCTTCTTCATACGGCCTGTTGGTGTAAACTCATGGTTTCCACCAATGATCCAGTCTGTCCAGTGCTGCCTGATGTGGCACTTGAATGGCTTGTTGAGGCACACATCAAGTGGCTGAAGCTGGGATGTCAGACCACCAGGGATAACAGCAAGGTCGGTCCTTGTTTCACGAGCACGTCTTTTGAAGTTCTCTACTAGATGTGCACGAAACGAGTCAAAGACAAGGCAGCTTCGAACAGGGGTGCTCCTACGGCCACCTTGCCTTGCACACCAAACCTTATCCAGCCACATATGCATTCCAGCTTCATCCATCCAGCCTTTGGGGTGAACGTGGACAATGATATCAGGCGGCACTGCATCCTTTGGCATAGTCTTTCGCTTGAAAATGACAAATGGCCGTAACTTTGTCCCATTGGCAAGGCATGCTAAAGCCACAGTAAAGTGCTCTCGTTCGTGCCCTGTCGTTTTGATGTGAATAGCCTTCGCTCCAATTTTGTCGATAGTGCGGGACAAGGGCATGTCGAAGTTCAGAGGTGTTTCATCCATATTGCCAATCTGATCTAGCGGATACTTGTTCTGTTCTCTCAACCTGATGACGTTGCGCTGAAAGGACAGAATCTTCTCCTCAAACTCGTCCGGCAGTCGCTGGCACAGGTGAGTCTTCACCCGGATAACAAGGCTATGTCGCTTCATGAAACGATAGCACCAACTAACAGTTGCGTTGAAACTTACGGCGTTCATCTCCTTTGCGAAGACTTTCGCTTTTAGGCGAATCATTGTGCCACTCAATCCAATCCCATCTTCTCGATTTTTCTCGATCCATTCGAAAACCTTACGCTCAAGTTCATTCCATCGTGGCTCGGGTCCAGCATGTAGCGATTTGGATGCGACTTTCTTCTTCGACAGCTCGACTTTCTGTTTCCGCCACTGGTGGTGGCTCCGGTGGCGGCAAGGGCAACGGTGGAGAAGGCACATTCGGTTGGCTTAGTGATCCACCACTCTTCCTTTGCACCGTGTGTTCGACTTGCTCTGGTTGTGTCGGTGGTAGAGGGAGCGGGTTCTTGCGTGGTCTTCCCCGCTTCGGGCGCTTCGCTTTTGCTGCGTCCGGCAGCATGTGAAGTGGTACATGCTGCTTGATACGTGCGCTCAGGTGTTGAAGGGTCCTACCAACGTACCGGCTATCACAATTCCGGCACTCAAATTGGTAGACCAAGTGGCTCAATAGGTGGGATGGTAGGACATCCTTCCTCACCGTGAACGCACGTATCGTAGTGAACACAGGGATGAAGTGCGCCGCAAAGTATGTTTGTGCCGCCACCGGAGCCACCACCAGTGCCGTTGGTGGCTGGGGTTGGGGAGGAGTCGGCAACAACAACAGTACCGCCAATCACAGAAATTGAGCCCATTTCTTTGACACAGTATCCGGCTGTGCGGACACCGCAGCACCCTCCGGCGATTGATCCGTGGGTCCAGAGACCACGGAGGTCGACCGCCAATTATTCAACCGAAATATATGCTAGGAATGGCCAAGGCCCACGCGGAGCATCGAAGGAGACCGGAAGCCGGGGGCAAAACGGAACACAATCTCGGGACGTAGATGAGGTAAGGACAGTGACACGGGACAGACGTAGGAAGGAGAACATGGATGGTATCAGACGACTGACTGGTGGTGAATATGAGTTGGGTGATGATGCGGCGGATGACGAGAATACAGATGACGATGAGGCGGATGACGGCGAGGATACAGATGACGACGAGGCGGGTGATGACGAGGCGGCGGATGAAGACGAGGCGGATGACGGTGAGATGGCTGGTGGTGATGGTGATAAAACGGACGAGGAGGAGTCAGGTGGCAGGGAAGGTGATGGAGCTGATGAGGGTGAAATTCGTAAGAAGTCAGCTGTGTATTTGCATTTGTTATCTCGTCCCGATTGTTTGAGTGTGTATGATGATTCCCACTTCTCTGTACTGTGCCGTGCCCGTTATGTCCAGCAGTTGAAGGTCCTTGAAGCTGTTTGTATTCGTACGCATAAGCCCGATTTGTGTAAGCAAAAAGAACATGTTTTAGCACTTAGGTTATTTTCGTGAGTTTGCACCCCGTGTTCATGAGTTGTTTCTGCACTGTTCATGCCCGTTTGTCACACTTACTCTTTATTTTAGTTCTCACTTTTTGTAATACTTACCACAAGTTACCCGTCGTGTGTCACACTTCTTTGGATTTTTAACCTTTGTTTTCCCCTTGTTCTCTTTAGTTCCGTATTTCCACTGATGATCGGAACGTGAAAATCGATTTTGGAAACACACAAAACCAAACCTTGAACAAATTGTCATGTTGCGTGGTGATGTCTGCGGCATTCATACTTTTCATTGCTATTATTAAACTTTTATCTCCACGTAGATTATTTGAATATCGAGTACCTGCTGGTTTAGTTATCACATTGTTCATTGTAGCATTCTCGCCAATATGCCCTTCTGTATTGTTGGCAAACGCTGTCAGGCTATACGTGGCATCTTCTTCAGTTCCAGTCAGATTGAGGTATATGGTGTCGCTGCAAAGACGTATGGTTCCTTTCTTTGAATCAGTTCCGGACACGGAAAGTTGCGTGAAGTCACAGCAGTAATTTGCAACATAGAATTGTCCAGTCAGTTTGGTGAAAGTCACAGATATCCATGTTGTTGATGTTGAAACCATGAACATGGGTGCTGGCGGTGCTGTTTGCAAATAGAGTACAAACAAAGCACCACTAGTAAGTTGTAAGCATGATGAAGACAACGTGCAAACTTGAAGTGAGTCATGGCTGCACGAGAGAGAGTGCCCACCACACCGCGATACCGGGCCTTGTGCACATACAGTAAAGCATGCTGAAGGCTGTGTTAACATGAGAACTTTCAACCCCGGGTTGAAAGTCTGTACGATTGAAAAAACTAGGGATTGGGGAGTGCTCACATGAAAAAGGTTGACCCAGGTCAATTACTGATATGCCGACAAAAGTCCACTTCTAGAGTGCTGTATGGCCGCGTAACTACTTTCGCGTGAACGTTGCCTTTCCAGTGCTGCGCAAACCTGGCACGAAATATGCACAGAGGTAAGGTAGTGCGATTCCTTGATTTCAACCCTCCCCTGATGGAAGGGTTGAAATTTCCAGGTCAACTGCAATGTGTCATGTAAATGATCCATCCAGTCAATCTGTGCTCATGGTGGGTTGAAATTTGACCCAGGTTGAAAACTTCCATGTAAATACAGCCTTTTAAGCGACCACTCAACAGACCTTCAACATGGATGCAAAATGTTTAAGATCGATCAATATTATTTTATCACTCACGGAATGGAGCAGTGACACATGGATACGAGTCACGAGCATCTGTACAGTACTGTAACTAGATAGTATAGGAATGGACTGTATTATCTAGTAGTTTTTGTGCTACAGCGGTTGGTACCTGTCTACAGACTTTCGATCATATGATCGACCACTAAAACCTTCGTAACTCCACCATTTCTCGTGCAAATTCAACAATGGCAGACGTCAGGCGAAATTACTGGTCAGTCGGCGACACGCATTTTTCACAAAAAAATGCGTTTCACCTGCTGGGAGAGTATGCGTGTACTCGAGTCTCATCCTGAGCACGTTTTTTTCTTCTTTTTTTCAGCTCCAGTATAGCTGTATTTTTCATTGCAAAGGCATCCTCGATTGTTGTGTTCGTTGTTCAAACGAAGTGGACATTCAATCATGAAGGCAGAGGACATAGGAGCCTGATTGGAGTTTCTCGTGGCATAGGACGGCCACACAGAGACCCTTTGGGATTTTCTGAATATAAAATACCGTACGCACGATGCTGAGATCAATTTGTGCGATATCAAATTGTTTGTGATCTACCACATCGAGCAGAACGGGATCCAAACACAAGCTTACCGACGGTTAGGCTGCCGACCTGACTGGACAAATGATCCCTGGCTTCACCAGACGCCAGAAGTCGGACACCATGTCCTTTGCCGCGACGTCCATCTCCAAAAAGAACTCCATCTTCGTCGTGAAAAGGCTTGAAATACTCCATATTCAACCGAGATTCGCGGTCTCACTCTTTCTCAGATCGAATCATTTTTTGTTGTAGGAGTTGCAGGGCAGATCCCCGCCACTACTTCAACAGAAGATGGCTCCAAAGCATGCCTGGAACAAGCCATATCGAGGTTGCAAGCCACCCCTCTCAGCATTTTTTTGGAAGAAATACGAAATTTCAATGGTGGAAGATATACTATGAAGAGAATTTCAAAAAGTATATTTCGCGGAGCGATCGCTCAACCTACGCCATTCAAACTTTGCAGGATGGTTCAGACGTACATGCAAAGCATGGAACCACAGAAGATGATATCATAGCTGACACACAGAGTCACACACACAGCAGATTGGTGTGCACAGATACTAAATTAGTGGACGTCGTCATCTTCTTCCCGCTGATCTCAAATGTACTATGACGTGCTATTTCGCCTGACGGTATCAGTGAATATCACGTGCATGCAGTTTCAGTGTTTCAGTACATGTACCAACCGCTGTAACACTAAAACTACTAGATATTACAGTCCATTCCAATACTACATTGTATCTAGTCACAGTGCTGTGCAGTTGCTTGTGCCTCTTACAAAACCGTGAAACTCAGAGTTACAGCAAAACGCTTGGATTCCTTCTTTCAAGTGTGTATTTGAGGAACACGTAAAGAGCCTGGACATAATCTAGAATCACTTAATAGTACGGGCTCGGCAGTTGATAGGTTGAAAAACTGGCCACATGAGAATAACTCATTGTCTTACCATCCTGGGTGGTAGAACTTTGCAGGCGACTCTCGTAGCTGCCGGTACCACCGGTTGATTCAGCGACCAGTGATAAGTTGTATGTTGTATCAAAAGTTAGTCCTGAGAGTGTTGCATGGGTGTGGCTGGTACTGGCCGATGTCACATGGCTGCCATTCTGATGTGCACAGTCAACATGGTATGCAACCAGCTTTCCATTCAGCTTGTATGGGTCTACAGCAGTCCAGCTGAGTGTTACTGTTGTTGCTGTTCTGGAGTCCAAGATAAAGTTGCCAGGTGCCACACTTGGAGCTGTCCATAATGAGGTGAATAGAGAGATAGAAATAGAGATAGATTCAGTTAGCTAATAATCGTGACTACGTGAAACTCGGAGTTGCGACACAGCTTCCCCTCTCGCTCTTCACTCTTCGGACAGTGGAGCTACTTGATTATGTTAGATAAAGATAGATAGAGATAGATAGACATAGAGAGAGAGAGAGAGAGATAGAGATAGAGATGGAGATAGAGAGAGATAGATAGATAGAGATAGATATAGAGTGGGATGGAGATAGAGATAGAGATAGAGATAGAAGGAGAAGGGCAATACTGTAAAGTGCAAAGTTTCGTTTGGAACTTTCGCTTTACCGTAAAAGCCCGTGTATAGGCCCCGGGCGTATAGAATAGCAACCTCGGTTTCCTGGGCGTATACAAGGGCACGGCATATACTTGGAGTAGGGATAGCAGTATGTATTGGGTATCAGTATTTGTACATGTACTGGTGTTGCAGGCATACCTGGGTGTATACATGGGCATGGGCGCCATTTCGAAACAAAAGTGTTGACTTCCCCTGACTGGGCGTGTACACGGAGGGTGGGCGTAATTTTGAGTGGGCGTATACAGGGGCTTTTACGGTACTCGTTAGCCCTTTCAGCCCTCGGGAGAATGAAGTTGAAGACACCACTGCAGCTGTACTTATGGTTGATGAATATGGTGGTAAAGACACACCTGGCAATATGGCGGAAAACACACCTGCCCACACTCGCTCTCTAAGCTGCAAAGTTCTGGCACAGAGCTCTCCTTCTCACAACCACCACCATCAGTTAGTGCCTGGCGCCTACTCAATGCATGGTTGGCGGTATCCGACATAGCAGGCTGGAACATCAAGTAGTGCATGGCACATAGAAGATGACACAGCAACAACATAGCTCGATTGCGACGTACGTTTCGTCCCCGCTGGACTCATCAGGCAATCTTCTTCTTGGATGTCTTTCATACTGAGCTTGACTCGGGACAATGAAGTTGAAGACACCACTGCAGCTGTACTTATGGTTGATAAATATGGTGGTAAAGACACACCTGGCAATATGGCGGTAAACACACGCCTGCCCGCACACGCTCTCTAAGCTGCAAAGTTCTGGCACAGAGCTCTCCTTCTCACCACCATCAGTTCGCGCCTGGCGCCTAGTCATCATGTACATCAAGCTTAGCACTAGCAAGGCAATCCAGCTATCAAAATAGTCTGAAGCATTCACTAAACAATCGAGTGCATGCGGTGTACCGGTGTATGTATGCGTATACTGCTGCCAGGGCCCTAAGGATCAGAGAAAACGGGTCATTTTTACTAAAAACATACTGCAGGTAAAAGGCCGTAGCTCAGTCATCCACATTCTCCATATTTCATGGTCTTTGGCTTCCTGGAAAGCTACTACAACCAGGAAAAAGAGGAGCCGAACCATAAGTCTTCCCATGACAGGAGACAAGATTTAGAACTAAGCGAATTTGTCCCAAAGTCGCGTTTGCAAAAATCAAAAGAAAGCTTTCTTTTAGCCGCCATTTGACTCTCCTCGGTTGTATCGAGGTCAAATGTTTTTTGAACACTCCCGCAGGTCTATATCTCGGAGTAGTCGTGGCACCACGTTGAAAAAAACACAGAAAGAAGAAAATCAAGCACCCACTCACTGCACAATAGTCGTTGGTTTCGTGTGGGTATGCTTGTCTATGGAGCATCATAAATCAACGAATATTGATCCGATTGCAAGCTGAGAGCTTTCGCATCGCCCTACATTATTTCGATTGGGAATCGAGTAAGAATTAACGGGCATATGAACATATGCACGCCCTGTTAATTCTCATCAATGCGCGATGTACACTCATCACGTAATACTGTTGTGTAATACTATGGGCTCAGCAATGCAAAGGTTAAAGTGATGCAGTGATGATGCAATGACCAACAGTATGCAGTATGCACCCCGTCTCATCATACACATCCCGGGTAGCTGTTCACACATGCAAGAATGGCTAGCAATGTGAAACGAAGTGAGCAAAAAGCTCTCAACACATAAAGTGGGAGTCCCAAAAAGCTGGTGCTGTCTTTCAGGGAACCTTAGTTGATGTTTGAGCCAGCACAACTTGGGTGAAAACCTACCTTCCAGGACCCATGTGCACAAGCCTTCAATCAGCTTGCCTCAAGGCGATGATTGATGGGGGACCTTAGGAGTTTCGGGATACTACCACTTAGAGGATTTTAAAGGAAGTGTACAAAGCGGAGGAGAGCATGTCAAGTGCATGGGCAACATGCCAGTATGCAGCACTCCATACTGCAGCATTATTGTACTTCAACTCTCCTGATTTCCCCGGAACACAGCTGCAGGATTTGCTAGTCTGGTCTCTGCATATTCTGCAACAAATCTCTGATACTCCCTACCTGTTCGTGTCGTACTGAACATATTTTGTTCTGTAGCATTTCCATCCGATGCATTATACGTGTTTCTAGCAACACAGTGATATGTATATGTTGCATCTTCTTCAACCGGTGAAAGGACAACAGGACTGGTCTTGTTGCAGATCAGGACACTTGACAAGCTTGACATATGTATGTCAGACACCGATTGCCTGGTGAAGTAACAGCAGAAGTTGGACAAGTGATAATTTCCTTTTACAGGTGTTAGGTGAATTGTCACCTCGGTGGCTAGTGCCATTGTAGAAATGACATTTGGCGGAGGAGGAACTGCAGAGTCGTGATAAAACAGCAATAACAGGTTTTTAAATTTGACAGAAACGCAAAGAAGTTGAAAGTTCATACAAACTTTACTTTCGAAATGGGATTTTAAAAATGGATCCAATAACCCTTTCCATATGCCATAGGTGTAGCAATGCACTTCACCCAATTTTCACCTGGCAATATAGTCGCGGCATAGTTTGTAGAGGCTGCAGATGCTTATCAGAGATCATACGAATAACAGAAGCGGGGTCAAATTCACTTTCTGCCTATGTACTTTGATTCGAAAACATTGTCACATTGAGTCTACAATATGTTTAACTCTGAGTCAAATCCACATCGCTGTGCTATGACTGATAACCGGAAGCACTATTCCAGGCAGTTTGGCTCAACTGATTTGAACGGACACCACGTCAAACACACTTTCATCTACCCCCAACAACTATGGCAAAGCTGGAAGTATGAAGATGAACAGACGACACAAAGAAACACCAATCTACGGACGAACGGATAGAGATCGCTCGTATCTCCACCACTACTTTGCTGTGTTTCTTTTTAACATTAAACATATAAAGAGCAGCTTGTCTCTCATCAATGCTGCACCCTACGCCAATGACAACTAATGGAAGAACACACAAGGCTGATCCTTTCTCTATTCTCGGTCGCGAAGTGAGCTTAAAGTACAGTCAGACCTTGCAGAACCAAACACATCCGTTTCCACAGAAAAATGTCCGTATAGGCAAGGGAACTGAATAGCCGAACACACACTGTATTCATAAACAACAAAAGGACCAAGGAAGTACAAGTTACTCGGACCCAGAAAGCCAGATATTATAATAATTATTAACCCTTTGTGACCCCATCGATCGATATCGATCGATTGGTATACAGTGGCACTAAAAATATTATATCTCTGGTGTTCCTTCCCCGATTTTCATAAACAAAGCGTCTACGTTTAGAGAGGAGCCTTGGCTATCACATCGAAGTTATCCGAAGTCTCTACGATGTACGATGCCGCCGTGATGAGACTCGAGGTCGGCGGAAAACTGAAAAATTCAAATTTTCACACTGCGCTTGGCAGGGGTTTTCCCCAGAGTGCTACGTCATACTCAAGCATGCTGCACACCAAAAGTTTGCGCTTGAAAGGAGCTTTCCGCTGTAGTTTTTTTTAAGTCCGAGATGTGATGAAGGAGAATGGAATGGCGGCTGTTTGAACTTTGCTGGAGCTGTTCGCGCACGGCTGCTGCTTTGAGCGGCATTGTAGGCCACGCAGAGCAGAGGCCGTGCAGGTAGCTGGCTTGAGTGTGGTATTAGTCGCTTCGTCTTGGAAATACCTTTCCAGCGGTGGCAAGTTTGTAAAAATCGGTGAATGTTTGGGAGAGATACAAGCGAAAGTGCATGTTATTTGGAGGTGAGTAAATTGTCGTACTTTCAGTGGGGTCACAAAGGGTTAATGATTATTGTGTGCTTGTATGTAGGGCATGTACAAAGCATTGACCATTCAGTGTACTTGTAAAATGCCATGGCTCGACGTTGGCATGCAAAGGGTTTTTTTCAGAGAAAAGTGAAAACCAGTATACCTGAATTGAAGAATTGGACTGCTATGAATTGCTATGAATTCATGTCTCTCTCATACCTTGTTGAGTTGTTCTGCCTGTTTTGTTGATACTTGGCCCTATTCCACCTGAAGAAACAGCAGCTACTGAGAATGTATAGCTGGTATCAAACATTAGCCCTGAAACCGTCGTTTCATGGGTTATAGATGAAACGTTTTTTATGCGAACAGTTGCTCCCTGATTTCCATAGGATATTCTGTATCCGACTGGTTTGCCATTGAAAGGGCTGACTTTTGGCCACACCAATTTAACTGAGACATCATTAGGAAAGAGAGCAAGGCTTCCAGGATGGTTAGTTGGCGCTGTAGAGTAGGAGAGAGAGAGAGAGAGAGAGAGAGAGAGAGAGAGAGAGAGAGAGAGAGAGAGAGAGAGAGAGAGAGAGAGAGAGAGAGAGAGAGAGAGAGAAAGAAAGAGAGAGAGAGAGAGAGAGAGAGAGAGAGAGAGTGAGAGAGAGAGAGAGAGAGAGAGAGAGAGAGAGAGAGAGAGAGAGAGAGAGAGAGAGAGAGAGAGAGGGAGAGAGAGGTAGAGAGAAAGAGTGAGAAAAGGCCAAGGAATATTATAGTAATATACACAGAAGAACAGACTTATAAGACTAGTGAAGTTCTGCTCTATTTAACTAGAACACGACCCGAAGAATCTCAGGAACAAGCTTTGCGCTACCGTGCCATTTAGGAACCTGTTCTGCTCTACGGTTCCATGAAGAAATCACGTGGAATATTTCCTGGGATTTTCCAGTTCCAAAATTGGCAGCCCCCTGATTTGAATGATGCCCAGTAGATCCACACAATTTTTTCTTTTCATGTGCCGTTTGCACCCGCTCTCCACTCCACACATGCCCTAACACCACTCCCTTTGTAATCACACCTTCTACAGTGCTAATTCGAGGATACCTGTGTTTCTCGTATTACAGTTATGGCAAGCAAAATCCGACACTTGGCATAAGGGACTACACCATGCAGTGCGCAGCCCCTGCAGCCCTGCATACGTAGTGCACGTGTTACATGACGCGTTATCTGTCTCGTGACGTTACTCATACTCATCACAGTCAAAGTTCACCTGAAAGGTTCAAAGGTGCTCAAAAATCAATGTGGACAGAAGACCAATACTCCTTACGTGTACCAAGTCTGTGAACTATGTGTATCATTGCTGTGACCTTTCGACCTGTTTGGGATGCATACGGCTCTAATGTACAAATTAGGTGCAGTGCATTACATCATTGCTGTCCATTTGTGGCACTGCCCTCTATGGCAAGTGTCGGATTACCACAACTGTAGTTTTAGATCCAATATTATTCACTTGATTGTACCATAAAAATATTTGCTTTGTTGTCTAACCCTTAGTGTGACGAAGATTTCTGATGATAGTCGCATGAAAAAAATCACGGTTCGCGTGAGACGCGGCTGGACTCCTGCATCCGAACGTTTATCGCCATCTTCGCAGCACAAACTGGCTCTGGGCAGTCGATTCCCTATGAATAGTATGATGCTATGATAGTTTCTCCCCACACTCACTCGTGTTAAGCCTTGGGTTTTGCGGGTTTTTCGCATCTTTTTGACCTGTACAGCTCTATCTTCTTTTTTTTTCCTTGTTTTGGTGCGTGTTTTTGGCCGTGACGCCGAGACCTCATGTCGGCAGAGTCATCAATGCCCCACCATCACTGCTGCGTCTAGGCACAGCGCCTGCTCATTACTTGTCAGTTTGTCCTAGTCTCCGTACCATTGTCTTTCCTTATCCTTTTGGAGCTGGTTATGTGAACATAGTAAAAAAAAATCCCTAGGAATGCCACCACCCTGTAGGATCAAGGGGCAGATGCAGCTCCTAAAGCGGTGGGAGGTGAGTAGATCAGACTCACCACAAAGTGGTCAGAGACCTAAAATCCCATTAGCTGCAGCTATGTTTCGATGTCCCATGAAAACGGCGTTAAAATCCGTCACTTATTGTTCCTCTGGTGTTGAGGTACGAGTGCGCAACAATTATTTCTACATTTACTATATACTCGGATAAAGAGCCAAGGATTAAAATAGAAAAAAGGAAGGACCAAAAGTTTACAAGTTATCCGTTTTGTGAAACACTAATGATCATTATAGCTATGAAAAGTATGAATGCCGCAGACATCACCATGTGGCATGACAATTTTTTCAAGGTTTGGTATTGTGTGTTTCCAGAATCGATTTTCAAGCTCCCATCATCAGTGGAAATACGGAACTAAAGTGATCAAGGGAAAAACAAAGGTTAAAATCCAAAGAAGTGTGACACATGACGCGTAAGTATTACAAACTAACGATTATGTTATTTCTATAACTTAGAACCTCCCATGTTGGAAAGCTGTTGGAGTGCGCATCCAAGATGTGCTAGAGTTGTTAGCCAGTTGGTTGTAGAACGTCAGTACCGTCGGTCAGTATCGTGCAATGTTATCGCATGAGCTGATTGTCTAGTAACTGGTTGCGTTAGTGGACATTGTAGCGTAACTTGCAGTTCCTTGGTCCCTTTCTTTTCTATAAACTAACGATTATAAGCAGGATGATGTTGAGTCAAAATGTGCAACAATTAGCACAAAACTACCTGATGTGATCCTGACAATCAACTACCTGATGCTTACCTGCATCACGCCTGGAATGCGCAAACCAACAGCCTTCCAACTTGGAAGGTTCTAAGTTACGAAGTATTGTCGTTGAATGTCAGTGTCACGTCCCTGGACTGCTGCCAGATAGTCCTGTGACAGCAAGATTTACGTAGTGAGCAGCTCGGTGCTGAGCTGTCACACCCTTTGATACAAAATGGTTTGGCCAGTGCCTTGTCCCACATGCTTAGTATGTAGGTTGAGCAACACACGCTTTCCCACGTAGGTGAAATGCCTTCTTGGCATGGCACATCAAGTGATCCAAGGCCGGAACCTGGTCAGGTAGGTTCTCGTGTTGTATGTTTCCTGGAAGTGCTTCACTTCCTGTAAATGTGACCCTAGGCTTCGTGCAAAACCACACGTCACTACGACGTTCTACAGGTTTCCACGATCTATGGCTGCTTTGTGCAAAGAGCCAAGACGAACAGAGCTAAGTGCAAAGAGTGCAGAGCCAAGACAGACGCAAGAGCCAAAACCGTCACAGTGCCAGGTCAAGGGTATCACGCAAGCAGAGCGAAGAACACTCCAGAACTTACCCATAAGAAGCCGCTGAGCAATGGCACGTTGGGTGAGCAGGATCCCCAACGTAACCTTCATATCCGCGCATTGTATGCATGACGTGGGTGAGCGGGCTCCCCACGTCCTTTTTGGTCTTTCTTCTCTCCATGTCTTTCTTCCTCTTTCTTCTTGAAAGATTACCGTACATTAGCATCCCCCCACCTCACAACAGAGCAACCGAGTTTTGCATTAAGCTGGGAGTGCCGATTCGAGCAACTGGTATAATGGCTCGCAGCTGAGCCAGCAAATGACTCCGCTTGGAGCAGGCGAATGACTCCGCATGGAGCCGGCAAATGACTCCGCATGGAGCCGGCAAATGACTCCGCATGGAGCCGGCAAATGACTCCGCATGGAGCAGGCGAATGACTCCGCATGGAGCCGGCAAATGACTCCGCATGGAGCCGGCGAATGACTCCGCATGGAGCCGGCGAATGACTCCGCATGGAGCCGGCAATTGACTCCGCATGGAGCCAGCGAATGACTCCGCATGGAGCCGCCGAATTACTCCGCATGGAGCTGCCAATTACTCCGCATGGAGCCGCCGAATGACTCCGCATGGAGCCGCCAATGCCTCCGCATGGAGCCGCCAATGACTCTGAATAGAGCCGCCAAATGCTAGATATATAGAGATGCATAACCAGTTGAGAGCATATATTCTCATGGACTATACAGATACCGTCATGTGTGCGCCAGAAACATGAGTTGAGCTAGTGGGTGGGAGGGTGGGAAGGAAATTGTTTCGGGAACACCTGTTCCGCAAGTTGCACGCTCGAAAGTCCAAACAGCAATGACATGAAAGAGACATTGTACAGGATATTGAAGGGCGCGTGCCCACGTGACTCGCGCATGCGTGCAGGTTGGGCCAGCTCGCTGGGCTGGCTGCTAACTCGCGTTAGCATGCTAACGCTCATTTAGCATCCCCCCACCTCACAACAGAGCAACCGAGTTTTGCATTAAGCTGGGAGTGCCGATTCGAGCAACTGGTATAATGGCTCGCAGCTGAGCCAGCAAATGACTCCGCTTGGAGCAGGCGAATGACTCCGCATGGAGCCGGCAAATGACTCCGCATGGAGCCGGCAAATGACTCCGCATGGAGCCGGCAAATGACTCCGCATGGAGCAGGCGAATGACTCCGCATGGAGCCGGCAAATGACTCCGCATGGAGCCGGCGAATGACTCCGCATGGAGCCGGCGAATGACTCCGCATGGAGCCGGCAATTGACTCCGCATGGAGCCAGCGAATGACTCCGCATGGAGCCGCCGAATTACTCCGCATGGAGCTGCCAATTACTCCGCATGGAGCCGCCGAATGACTCCGCATGGAGCCGCCAATGCCTCCGCATGGAGCCGCCAATGACTCTGAATAGAGCCGCCAAATGCTAGATATATAGAGATGCATAACCAGTTGAGAGCATATATTCCATAAATCGGCACTCCCAGAGCGGATCACAAAGTGCAGCTACCTGTGATATTTGTAAGCAGTGCAAGCTCGGTAACGATTGACTAACAGGAACTCGATATCATGGGCTGAGGCCATTGCCACAGCCACCCATGCTTTGGCTGCTGGTGGCCTCTGAATGTTACTCGGGCAGACATGGCTTTCCACCTTCCCGCCTCTCTGAAAATCGAGTCCGGCAGCTGATTCGAAACGAGTGGCCGGTGTATGACGCCAGGCCATAGCCACAACTGATGAGCAAGATTTTCGCAGTTGCTGCAAAGCCGATCGATTGGCATCTGCTGCTGGTGCCGCTAGCTTTTCCAGGTGCTGCCACAATTGCAAACCACTCTTTGCGATTGGCTGGTCTGCTTGATTGACTGTCCATTGCCCTATCCCCGGTTGCAATTGTTTGCGCACCAGCCAAGTGCACCACTTGCATCAGTGAATAGCAGCAAGTTGGGGGACGGCGTCCACTTAGGGTGTAGGAAGAAGGACCGGCCGTTCTACTATTCCAGGAGCTAAGGCCATCAGCGAAGGTATTTTTGGCACTCTTCGGAGAGCTCGATCAGGTAATACGGCTGCCGGTACCAGTTGGCAAGTGACC